ACGTCAGAGTATTTGGAAGAACATTCTCACCATTCTTAAATGTTGAGAATGTATGTGAGAGGAATGTCTCAACCACACGGAAAACGTGAGCGGCTGTATTATCCGACCAAGGTCCTGAAACATCTGACTCAAGGAAGAATGTGACATAACCCAGAACGTTCCATCATATATTTCTTAATTACACTATTACATCACTTGGAACAGTTTAAGCCCATTTTGCAGCATATAAAGTACAGTAGTCAGCTGTCCAATAACAAATTTGTCGCGCATTGAACTGTTCAATTATGGTGTCGATCAATGCACACGAAGTGAGGTTGGATAATAATCTCGAGCGGATACAAAACTCCAAATCAACTAGGATTCGACCCAAGTGACATATAAATCACATGGTTCACGATAAGCTTTGAAGCAAATATCACGTAACATTTTTTCAAGTATTTACATTACTTTCTTTTCTTTACATTAAAATGAAAGGCACGACCCTTGAGTGGATTTCTGGGATGGTTTGAAACATTCCAACCATGGTAACATTTTGAGATTATCCATTTCATAAATATAATGATGAAAATTAAATTTGCAATACAAGAAGTATATTCAGGCTTGTGAAAATGAATTGATGCAATTTTAAGCTAAAATAATATATTTAAGATGATTAAATTGCTATATTTTGAAAAATAGAAAATTTTATACTATTGAAACTAAATAACATTCACTGCATTCACAAAATTAAAATTTTGAAGAAATTCACAACATTATGAAGAATACGTCTCAAACAGATTTTACTTCTCCTTTTTTCGTTCTGAAGATGAATTGACTTTAATCGAACGTAAAACACAATCCTTGTATGAATAGGATCATACACTGTGGACGAGGTTATGAAGGTATGTTCGTTGAATCCATGTGTTTGCAAGTATCAGAGTACTTTATCGTATTGTAAGGAAAAAATTTTGGAATATATATAATTGTTTGTTCTTGGGGCTAATTTAGTTATCATGTGTTCTATACGCTGTATGCATCTTGTGGTAATCCATAACTTTGGTTCTGTATAGCTTTAACGCCGATTGCTGAGCCCCGCCCAATGTTGGCTTCTGTACATAAAGTGGAGCAAACTTTGGGAGTCGCTCCTCGAGGATATGATACTGGTGGATAAGACAATTATTTCGGTTTCCAACTCCATTCCTAGTGAAATGTCACGCTCGCTTCCTTGGCTAAGGAAATTCGCAAAATAATCGCTTATTCTGTCCACTCGCTCTCTCAAGTTTGATTTAAAGATTGCAACCAAAACTGTTTATCTCTAGCGAAGAGATATGCTTCATGCCCACTTGGATTGACGTCCAATTGCCGCCGTGATTGAGGTGAAGCGGTTGGGCTAACGAAACCGGTCCAGGCTGCTTCGCGGTGCACTGTGTCCCGACCAAACACGTCCCTTGTCGACCGGTCAGAGCCCTATCAGCCGAACTAGACGAAATATAGGGAGAAGCTGACAACAAATTAGGTGGGAGAATGGCCACAATTGAGCTCGGCTCGATAGCAAACAACTTCTCACAATTTACAATGCACAGAATTCCATTTGAACAGCTTTTGTTATGGAGGAAGATGTCGATTAAGACAATTCCATCGTTCCGAGGTACCGATCTAGATCCAGGAGCTCCTGCCTTCCGTAAAGTAGTATGCAATCATTTATAGAGTGCAACCAACGAGTGCTTCATATATAGAATGTCGGCCTCCGAGATGCAGTAGGTGTTTCCATTCGACACCTTGTCCTTCTCTATGAATTACGAGTTATGTCTTCCGGTGGAGGTAGTAACAGCTATGCGAGGGACGAGATATGGCGACAAAGTAGTACCCTATGTCTGATACCAGATTCTTCTTACATTCTTACAAGACGAGGGAAAAAAGGGGGGAAATATAATATCAAAAGCCAAAGGAAGATTTCATCAAGCCGTAGAATACAAGCGGAAACCAGGGCTAGATCCCCAATAATATTATGAAGTGAAAATTAAACTATAAGATATATTCCATCACGATAGAGAACTCCACATAAACTAGAGCCCAATAGAATCACTTTGTGATCAAATAATTGGAAGTACAGAACTTAAAGGAGTACTACCTGAGAGTAAAAAGTGAAGAGATTCGGAGTCAATGAATGGGACTCTCAAGAGGTGAAACTCTTTTATATGGATGAAGGATAAGCTTCTTTCGCGTGTCTAAAAGTTCAGTCCGATGGTGAATCAGTGGACTGTGCTATGATCAGCAAACGACCCCGTAACAATTATGTTGTCGGTCTTATGAAGAGCCTGACAATCCTAAAACCTGACATCCATCAGTTACAGGCGAAGATGAGCTATGAATATAAACGGCTGTTTTTTTTGGCTATGTTACTCCCTCAGCGTTCTCGATGACAAGTGCGTATAATAGTCTACATTGATTGTTGCACCCCATAATTCATAATCTTCACACTGCTAGAGTCTAGAAGGTTGACAGACAATAATCCATATCTCAGTGCTATCCTTTTGTGTTTTCTCAGTCCTGTGCCGGTCGATGGTGAAGTTTTTTATGTCACAAGAACACAGAAAGCGACCGTTGCTAGTGCTCATCGACGCTGAACACAGATTCCATAGCTCTTGGTCATGTATCGTCAATCTTGTGGAGCCAGATTGTGACCAACATTTCGATTATGCCCACGGTTCCAGCACACTTTTCTTTTGTAACATGACCCTTGTAGAGCCGTAGATAAATCTTGCTGAATCACGTAGCTTAATAATGCAATGTTTGCCTAAAAATATTCCGACACCCTGTCACCTTGTGGCTCTATTTTTGCTAGAATCGTCTAGAAATAGGTCGTTGATCTTCTCAAATGCTTGAGCTTTGCGTGTGGAAAGGGTTCTCAGAGCATGCCTTTCACATCTTGGGTCCTTTCATAAAGACCTGAATCCTCGACCGATAAATTTGTAATGGACTACTCCACCCAAAGGCTTGGTCAAGAGGCAGCCTGCCTGAAATAACACACATTATTTTCGTCGTATTAACGAATGGTTTCTAGCCTATTGGACTTTTCTCCGAACAGTGTGTGGCTAGATTTTAAAATGAATTTGAACTCAATCCCATGCGCCTGGAACCGCCATTGAAGGTTCCACTACTCGTGCTCAAGAATGTAAGACACAAGGTAAGCCTCTTCCTACTAAACACAATATTGTGTCTTCAATATTTTGCCCGCCAGATCTGCTTGCCATTCTGGTCCTAGTGTGTAAGAAATTTAGGGTTCATGCATGATTAGTATTCACAACGAAGTTCAACTGTATGTGTTGGGTGATATATATATATATATATATATATATATATCTTGACTCTATTGAGAACAATCTTTCGACTTGTTGCACATGTATAGCATGATACTATTGGTGAGGAAGTGTGGTTTTATGCACACTTACGTTATGTGAAGAAAATATACGGAGTGTTTGATTTGGCACAAGAGTATGAACATCAGACATGGAAATAACCCTTACACTACAATCAACTCCAGTTCGCATAGACTAATGTTTAGTTTGAGTGACCATATTGTGGATGCCCACGTTATGGTTAATCGTACACGTGTTTCTATGTTCAAAGGTCATAATTTTTCATACTCATTGATGGGCAATCGATGGACCTAAAGCCAGTGTGTTCAAGACAATTGTAAAACCGTACCATTTTAGAAGTTATGAAGAATCATACCTTGAGCGCATTTTAAAGGTTTATATAGACACAATACTATCCATAGCCTTATAATTTACAAATAAAATACCATTCTTCATAAGTATTCAATCGTGAATATTTTGATGTTCTTGTAGTGTGTAGACCATTTGATTACTTCACTTTCAGAGAAGAAGTCTCTGAAAGTGAAGTTACAAATTCTTCCCATTGTGATAGCTCCGAAGTAACCTTCAGGATTCATCCTTGTAGTACTTGATGAGATGTTCCCAACCCATACTTTTGGCTATATTACTTGGCCTAGCATAAAAATATCATTCATGGGCAGAGTACTCCCACATGGGCCAGCTATTCAAGGCCTCCTCCGGCCCCACAACCCGAAGTATGGACTCCTCGAGAATATCCGCACATCTCACGTCCCGATCACATTTTTTATCCACTTGCCAGGTCCCGTCACAACTCCCTCTGGAGCATCCCACAATTTCGGCATGCTCAGCTTCCATTGTAGTCCAAGAAAGCACGAGAAACTGAGAAAATAAACATTTCAACCGAACCGATTTCAGAGCGCTTCGCGAATGTGGATAGAGTAGTCCAGTAGTGGAGAAGGCTCGACGGGGTCGTCCCTGAGCCGTAAGCTTGAGCCGGAAGTTTCAGCCACCGGGTTCCTAGCTGCCGCGGGCAGATCCACGCCTAAAAAGTCACTAAAAATATCACGAACCTCGTAATCATGGTTTAGAAAATTACGGTGAGTTTAGTAACTGGCCAGTACGGGAAAGGTCATGAAGCGAAGGTAAACAGAGACGGGACGCGGCCACCGGGAAAGGACCGGGCCCAGCGGCTGGTGCGGACCTGGTCACATTCTACGGTAAACTGGTCAACCGGTGCCCCACAAGCTGCCCGGGCAACTGTAGTTAACGTCGGCGCTACCATGCTACCATGCGACCATAAGTTGGGGGAAAAAAATTCACCAACCAGGTCAGCAACCGGAGGGGCGCATAATTGTCGAGGTTGGCTACGGTGGAAGGTCCGCGGTAACGTCTAGACCAAGACACGATTGTCTCGTGCGTTGCCGTCGCCCTGGGCTGCAGGTGGCATTCCACATCGGCTTCCGTGAGTGCGTCCAGGTGGCAGCTCAGGTGTGGCGGACACGCAGGACGATCCTCCGAGTCATGTGACCGATCTGCTTTAGGCCGGGCGGCCACGGGGCCCAGCCCAGGGCTCTAGAGCTCCGTCGTCCGCCTGCCTCTTCGGGCGCAGGCTGAGCTGAGCTGAGCTTCGGTAGGGGGAGTTCGGTTCAATTCTGGCAGTTTACAAGGGGGGGGGGGGGGGGGATAGAAACGGATACGAGCAGATTTGATGGTCAGGTGGTGGTGTCAGGGCACAGTGCAGGATCTGAGAAACATCCATGAGCCTTTGCGCTCCGGATCCTCTCATCCATGTGGCCCCTAAAATCAAAAAAATGTGCTTGGACAATTGGTTTGCAACAGCTTTGGTGATGGCCTCGAGGGCATAAGGACACCTAACCTGGTCACCAGTGTCCTACATTTTGCAGCTCGTCGAGACTTTTGCCGCACGCTGAACAGTGGCAGCACGATGTAGGGAAGGCCCGAGGGCCATAGTGCGATGAACTGTATTTCGAACGGTGCAAATTGTGTCTCGATCGGAGCCGGATCGAAAAGCACTCGCGAGACCCGAATACCAGGAATACCATGAGAATGTCCTTTCCTGCCGGGATTCAAAAATTCTCACTGCCATATACTTTCCCTGTGTCGTGGGCTCTGTCACAACTTTAACGACTTCCTCTTGTGCACAATTTTGACCTCCTCCCCTTTTGTCAACTGCAATATGACGTTTGTTATGCCGCTGTCGATTGGCGTGTCAACAAGCACTGGAGTCGAGCGGGCTCTGCGGATGCTGACTCCTGTTCGCGATCGGGTATCAACAGTTTTTCGCTGACAGGTGGAAATTCCTGTGTAAGATAGGCATGATTCTCCACAGAGGACTTAGCCACGGAGTCGCTGTTATCTAACCCCATGTCGGGTTATGGCGGTGTTTCTCAGCACCTGGATCGGGAGTCGGTAGCTGTTTGCTCCTCCATTGGCAGTGGTTTCTTTCGGGCTTGATGGGGTCTCGCCATCCCTTAGGCGACATACCTGGTCCCTCTCCTTGATGATTGACGGTCCAGTGGCACACAGATTCGGCGATGGAGACAGATGCGCGCGGGTGAAAGGGCGGAATCGTTTGGCACGAATGAGATTACTCGGGTCCTCGTATAATCCAAATCGGTCTGTCGCGCTCTCATTGATTCCGCTCATCATTTTCAACTGCAATGATGGGCAGGAAGACCACAGCTCAAAGGAAACGATTCGACTTCCTCCTTATACTATCTCCCGCACGTTCCACGTATTGCCTGAATGAAACTCGACAATTTCTCAGCACAGTCTTGGGCGGGATGGGGTGGGGTGGGGTGGGGATGGGGAGAGGCTTTCTCAATGCTCGTGCACGGTGAAGGAGGAGCTGCACATCGGCGCTGATGTCTGATGTCGTTGTCATGCGACGTCGAAGAGCGCTGTTCTGTGTGTGATCCCTTCAGGTCTGCATCCCGAAATGGTTGCGGATGTCTTGGTGACTCCCGTCAACGACTCAGTCATTGATTGTATCTTTGCCTGCCTTCTGATGCCAACATATACCAACTTGTCGGCCAGTGCTAGAAAGTGGAAATTATGCATGGTTCAACACAACCCTCGCACACCAAAAGAGTACCCATCCAAACATGACGTCGTAAAACAATGCGTGTCCATACATAATCCTAAAGTGCACCAGCTGCCACTGATCCCATCCAAACATCCTGATCATCATGGTCCCATGGTCTATTTTTCAATTGCCATGAGAAAGTACGAAATATATACTGTATCTATTAAAAAAATGAGGAGCCTTTCAATATGTATTTGTATCTCCTCGATTTCATTTCCCCCCGGGCGACATGTTCTTCTTTCACTCTTTTCATGAAAAGATGAGTGAAGTTTGTTCATGTTATGAGGGACATTATCCATCGCCAAGTGGATGGACTATTTTTTTCATCTCTCCTGCGCTTTAGTTTTAGGTGGGGTACGCTTTCTATGGAAAAGACGTGGACACGAACATCTGGTGCTGAACAGGAAAAGCGCATGCTCTGGTTTGTGGAGATGATGTAATCTTTTCCCTCACCATCTTTCCTCCTTCACCTTCTGGAGATATTCCTGTTGAAGAGGCGATACTACTTTTGATTCCAACATTCAACCATCATCAATTCTATTATTCTTCATGCTGAAGCAACAGACTACTGCGCTTGTTATTATCGTTGTTTAGAGATTTTTGTGCAGTGTGGTAAAGGACATGACATGCCTGCGTTACAATCAGCTTATGATGCAGGTTAAATAGATCTCCTTCCCTTGTTTGTAACTTCTTTTCCAATATTCTTCATGTATTATGCTTCTCTTTACTGAGATTAAATATGATTTACAATGAATTAGCGTGTGTTGAGCACACCAGTGAGTAAATGGCTTGACTTCTGATATAACACTTCCTATCACATTTTTCTTGTCCATTGGCTTGGGTTCAGTGAGGCACAGAAAACACCCCTACATCAATCCAACAAGACTCTTGCTGCTTACTATTGATGACACGCAAGGCTAATGGCGGTGAAATAAAATTGACTTCAATGCACCGCCCAGACTCCTATTGACACACTACGATAGTTCTCGCGATTACAAGCGAAAGATTGTTTTTTGTGTTGAATGGAATATTCTTACAAAGTTGGACAGATTCTTGATTCCGTTTATCACGAATATCAGAAGAATCAGAGTCATAGTGATAGGAACAGATAGGCTCAAAGTGAAACTATCTTCATCACTTGCCACACCACGCAGCGTCACCGAAAAGGGTTTGCCTGATCTACAAATAAAATTCTTCATCCACGTCCGTTGTCTACTCGGTGATCGAAAGCTATCACAAGTCCAAGAACCTCTCCTGTCCAACCTTCCTTCAAATATTATCTCTATTTTGAGATGCAAAAATTGTATGTACACCGCATCCGTAATCCCAGTGACTACACCTTGTGAACGACTACTCGATAATGATTTTCATGATTGCTACCAAATGTAACTAAATTGAAGTCCCTATACTGCAGAACGAGAGCAACGTCTTATCTGAGGCCATGTTTATCTAAGAATATTTTTCTTCATCAGCTGGACTTCGTTATCGGAAAAACGAATGTCAAGTGTTCTCTGATAAGTGTACAGACCGGCGTCCTGCATAGGCAAGACCCACGCTTCCTCGTTGGAATCGTTGTGGTGACTGTGCCACCATCTGGGGGGAGTGACGAACATCGCTCCGGTTTCCCAGTCCACCCTGCACAATTCCACATCAGTCATTTCTCTTTCTTCAAGCTGCTACAGGCCCGGATACTATTGTAGTACACGATTATGTCTTACCCAGGCGAGAACAATAACCTCCAGTAGCTGTCAAAATGTTAACCCTTTGAGAAGGAATTTAAAAGCACAGCCAGATAAATCATTGGCTCAGCAGTAAACCTCAAGATCGTCCTCCGAATTTAAAAATGCGAAGGCATTCTGCGTGATGAGTATCGAGGGCGTACCGAATGGGATCAATGATCTTTCCGTTCATGTCGAGGGTTTCACCCATTAAGGTATATGTGCCCGGCGCTGCATGTATTGCCAGATCCAAAGCCGTTGAAGAGTGCCTGTGAGGTTTTTGCATTTGACCTGCACAAGAGTGAACAATGTCCCAGAGAAATTAGATAAGTCCTTTCTCGCTGACCAGGCCTCTGATTCTAGTTTAATCAAGAAAAGTTCCACGAGAATATCCCGTCTCACGGCACTCTGATGAAGCGTGTTCACGCGCATATGCAATGCAGTTGGTGGGTGGGTGGTTTCATAACATCATATCCTACAGCACTATAATTAAAGGTACAAAGAGTTCTCAGAAAGAAGCAGTACCTGCAGGCAACACGTTCAGAAGGGACCAGAGAGTGTGGGAAAGAGTCTTCGTCTGCGGTGTAGCGGTGTTCCCGAGAAGAATGCCCATCCGGTTGCGTTCATGTGCTCCTTCTTCGAGCCTGACCTTCTCCATGTTGGCCATCAAGTACTCCCAGCTGAAAAGCGACATCCAGGCTGTTATCGACAACCATAAAATGCTCACCAACTCATTGCCAATATGCAACTCAAAATGGCATGTGAAAATCTGAAAGCCCCAGTGCCCGTTCAATCACATCATCCAATATGCGGCTGCTGGGATTCTCAAGGGATCGCAAACTTTCCAGGTAGCGGCAACATAGAAAGCTTGGGTATGATACCTGTAAAAGGTGGGCTCAAACTGCTTAGACTTCGGCACGACACCGAGGTATGCCAAGAGTGGCGAATCATGAACCCAGTACAGGCCAGCTCCGCCAGTGTTCTCTTTGTCATCATTGAAGCAGAAATGGGTGCACTCCGTTTCAGCTTCTGTTCCTGGAATCACGAAGAGATCGCCAGTTTTCCACTCGATGTCCCCGAAGCCGGTGCGGGTCTTTCCCTCCCCGTGGATTACATAAAATGCCTACACTCAACAAATGACAACATTTACACTCACTCTCCACTTCCTCTGGCCGGGCGTAGCCTCACATTGTGCACAGCTCAAGATCCTGGCAATGATGCCGGTCAGAGTTCGCCAGCATCTCTGTAAGTACAAAATGCAGGAAAGCGTGGCTATCGTGAAATCTATCCGCGTGTACTTCTGTTTAGATGGAAAGCTTCGCCGAGCAATGATCCAATTTCAAGGGTGCTGTTGTGAAGCTGATGTGTTACATGCAGATACCACTTGCACCAAACAGGGTTTACTCTAGTCCAGTCCAGCTGAACCTTACACTACTGAGGACATAGCAGCAAAATGTAAAACGTGTAGGAATGGCAAACCTGAGACGTCGCAGTGGCACTGGTGGTCAGAGACTCGCCAGTGCAAACTCGCAGAAAGGAAGCGAGGAGATTGGGAGAAGATGCAGCGTATCCATCGATTTCCATCTGCTCGCTCAAGTCCAGAGTGCTGATCCTCGACGGGCCCGACCTATGATCGCAAGGGTGAAGGCCCAAAATGGGAATGGCCTTCAGAACAGGGTTGGCAGCACTCGTGTACTCGTACACCTGCGTGTGACTCTCCCAAGTCGACTTGGAACCAGAGCTCTCTGCTTCCATTTCCACGCCGTGGCCTGTCTGCTGCACATCGGTCGCCTGAGCTGACGTTCTCTGCGTGCTGAACTTCTGCACCTTGCACTGAATCCCCAGCTTCCTCGGCTTCGCGGATGCTGCGGGAAGAGCATTGAACGCCACCCTGCTGCTGCTGCTGCTGCTGACGCTCGTGGCGGCAGTGGGGCAACCTTTCTCCCAGCAGGAGACGAGATTGCCCCGAAAGACTACCACCGACTCCATGTCCACCAAAATGCGACCAGTCTAACACCAAGAGCTCTTCAGCTCCAAACTCGACGCAGGTCCGAGACCAATACCGAAATCTCCGCGGTTGAAGAGTTCAGAGCCCTCTTCGAGCAATTTGAGCAATCTGCAATTTGAGCTCCAGCTGCACAGAGGAACTTCGAGTGAGGGAGATTTTCAGGTCATTCGCGAGGGAGATTCATGAATGCGGGCGCAGCTGAGCCGCCAGTTGGAACACACAACGAGCTGCAGAATGCGTGGGGCCTGAGACGAAAAAGCCGCGCAAAAGGTGAGACCGATGCAGAAAACGAACGGAGTCGGTTGAATACATGAACTGACAAAGACTAATATAGACGCGAGAGAAGCTGTCGCCGTCTCGGCGAGCGAGGCGAGAATGTTCGTCACCGAACGTTTGAGGATCTGGCAGAGTCGAGCCGCGTGATATGGAGCTACGGCAGCCATACAATCGAGAGTGCCAGTGCAGTGACGCCGGGGCCTCTGAGAGCAGGGCCGACGGTTGTCTCTCTGAGACGAGCTCCGTGGCTCGCTGGCACCGAGCCTCTGACAAGCTCGAGACCCCACCATCGCATCGTCCTACTGGTTGCTCACCTGAATCTTCCGCCGCTCTAGCTCGCAACCACTTGGCACGCACTTCCCTCCGCTTCCGTTCCGGCCCGCAGTCCTTCGTCGTTTCGTACCACTGGGCTTGTACTTTCGACCCTGGCTCGACGGGGGAGGCAATAATTGGCACACAAAGCTGCCTTGACATGCTCAGCACACGAGGCTAATGTGTGACGACGGGTCCGCGATTCTTCTCCTCGGGGGAGTGATCCGTGAGAAATGAGAAATCGAGCGGAGGAGGAGAGGATTTGGCTTACGAGGGCACAGCTGGACTGGACTCGACTGGATTGGACTGGACTGGGCTGCCTCTGCAACGATTCGAGCCTGCCTTGTCAGCTGGGGATGCAGGCACCTACAGAATGAGGATTTGATCGGATTCGTATTTGATCAAGCCTCGAACGGTCTAATTTTGGCAGCTCGCCGTTCATGAATCTGGAGCACGAGTGCTCCGAGTAGATCCTTGTAGCGTCTGAAAGCCTCGGGGGGCTATTCTTAGATCGCTCCTTCTGATCAGATCCTTTGCCCACGAGGGGGATTTGGTGGTAGATTTCTGGTCGATGGGGTGACAAGAATCTGGGCTCGAATTTTCTCTCAGTGGTCACCGTTAACCTCTGGGGATCGGCCTCGAAGCTCTTCTGATTAACGTTTCTTACATAATCTGGAGGTGGGGGACAGAGATCCCTGAACCGATGGGGATCGGTCTCGAAGACTCCTCTGAAATGGCAAGACTCTGGGCTCGGAATTCCCCTCAGAATCTGAAGCGGGGGACAGAGACCTATTCAATGCAAGGGATCTGGGCTCGATCTCTCCCCCAAGTATCTGGAGGAGAGACAGAGACACGTTATCCGCAGGGGATCCCATCGAAGTTTTCTCCACGTCAGAGAGAGAGAGATGGATAGATACGAAGATCGCGGAATCGAGTCAAAATCTCCTGAACGCCTTGGGCGTCAGATCAGATCAGAAGTCGATCGCAGTAGTAGTACGCATAGGTACGGTCGGAGAGTGTCTCGATCGAGGGCACATTCTCCGCATCTCTCTTCCGGAGAGACTCTCGAGCTTTAGGATACGTCACTCTGACGCCCTTCCATAATCGCACTCATGACAGTAGGCAAATATGAGCGCAACCGCGACGTGGCGCTAGACGATTTCTGGGATGAAATTTGGTACCACGAAAACTCGCATCAGGAACACGGTGATGACAAGTTCACGCCGACTCAGTTCTGGACGCGTAAATGCTTCACACTCCAGCCTCGAAGGGATCCAGTCTGAGTGCTGTGTTTGGAAGAGATGTCCTGCCTTGCAGCTGAACGTAGACGTCTCCAGTGATTTGTCAAGAAAATTGCGAGCGAGATCGTGAAAACTCTTTCTGTTCGTCACGACCGATTGTTTCGGGAGTATCATCATCACTCGTGCACGGACCTCGTGAAATTGCACGGGTTGAGAAGACTATCGGGCTCAAATCGATTTTTGTCGACAACGACCGAGGCTTTTACTTTACGCGGCTCAGTGAACGTCATCCGGAGCACGGCGAGATTCCTCCATGTACAGCCATGGCAGCCTGAACCAACAGCCCTCGTCCTCGCATGTTCTGCTGATCGATCGAGTGCAAATTAGGACACTGTTCTTGCTTTATTCTGAGATTTGGGTCGGGCATCTGATTCACTACGAGTGGATATCCCCGGCCATGGGCCGTGAATTTACGCAGCAGGTGCTTTTGCATCGCCTGCGGGCACCGAATGCACCATTCGAGACCATAACGGAAGTCAAAACCGGCCGTAGCAAAACTGAAATCGGCTGAGTTGCTGCTCTGCCCCGAGCACCCTTCACCCAGATCACGAAGTGTGTGTGGCCCGGTTCATGGCCCCTCCTGTCAGCAGTTCTGAACTCTGATTCTCGGATGCTCTCACCAGCAGTGTCTATGCCGAGACCTGCTGGTGGATCTTTTCCTCGTCAAATCACGACGAGCCTGCGATTGATTGTTGCCAATCCTGATGAGCTGTGAAAATTAGCCAGGCGCGCATCTCAGCGTGCTGAATCGCAGATTATATTGCGCAATTGCAGAACAGTGAGTTTCTTTTTAACCATCTTACGCTGCCAAAGTGGGCGTCCGTTTAGGCATGAATTTTATGCCTCTTTTCTTCGTGTACATGTGCACCGTTCTCAGCTATTTATATCGTCTCCTGTGTTAATGTTCACCAACATATCTTTGACTCTGCGGCACACACAATTCTACCGTTTAATTCAGCGATGTTCGCTACGTGCCGACATTACTCTTACAAATTTGACAGTAGGATCGACACTTCGGTTCTCAGGTGTTTCCAATTGAGTCCACTTCATCTTATCCCTGATGAATGTTATAATCAAGTGATAGTTCCTCGATGCCAAACAGGATGCCTCGAAGAGCGGCTTCCTGATCTAAGGTACTGTATGATAGTAAAGCTTACTTTGATCTCCTTGTGGACTTCCCTTCCCTCTCGTCTATTCTGCTCGAACAGCATCTCTGAGTGGCAGCCGATCGAGGTGTCTACAAACAGCAGGAATAGTTTATTGCTGGCACCCTGCTATAGGCGTACGGTACATCTCGCCTAGTGCCAAGAAGATTCAGCGGAGTCACTGGTGGATAAGCTCTGCTCCTTGCGGACGCGCAGTAATATCTGCATCTAGCACTAGCCACTTGCAACATGACATCGTCAGATATTAGCAGAAGTTTGCGAGAGGTGTCGAGGTCTTGAAGGTGCGGTGTGTCAACGGGACAGAGGCTACAGAGACAATCCTCGTAGATCCGCTACCACATCTATTCGTAGCTCTACCTGCTTACCGTCATGCTCACGAGGTTTCCGTCGTCTGTTGCTCGAACTGATATTGCACCTTCTGAACGAGCCTTGCTAACCAGCATCAAGGATCATGTGTACGGCAGCCAGATACTTACTACGGCAGCCGACGGCCGTAATCAAAGCGTCTGAGGGCCATTCTTGTACGTACTGGTGGTTGTCCGAGCCCCAGGTGCTGGCCCAAAGTAGCTATGGGACTGTAATTTGTCCATCGCTGGTAAGGAAGCGTGCACCTGAAGGTGTCTGTCTTTCTAGGCAGGGAAGCCAGATCTAGCCTGGCCGTTGGCCCATCATCTTTAATTCTCATGATGTTTCCTGAGAGCTGTACTCTCGAAGGACCCAGCCTTGAAGGACCTACTGATTGATCTCTATCTGCTGAATAGAAGCTACACCACTTTCTATCACGAATTGACGAAGTCTCGGCTAGAAGAACGAGTCGGTAAAGAGGTGATTGTGATTTCAGAGAATGTCGAATTGTCTCCACTGTAGGACAATTTGACAACTAAATTCGCATACGCTTGCTGGTACGTTTTCATGTGGGTGGGACTCACCGACCAATTTCAGCACTGTCGACATGATCGGCCCGATAGGCTAGCCTTTCGATTAAGAGCTCTTGCAGCTGCTATTTATTTGAGCCCTACTATTCAGTTTACATCTTTTAGGACTTTCAGTTCTAATGGAGACAGCTGTTCTCAGTGTTCATAAGAGAGTTGACTGCCGCTGCAGTTGAACCAGATCGTCCCAGGTTGCAACAGCAAATTTGTCTCTGTTGTGTGAAGTATTGATGACACACCTGTTCATATATCAAGCGGCTGGAAATTCTCAACGATCGATGGCTTGTCGTTCATCAGTACATGACTGCGCTGGAGTGCTTCTAGTGATCTTTCCATGTCATCCAACAAGGGCTCCTTTTTGGCTTCTGGAAAGAGTCAACAGGTGACTGGTTATGCGTTTGTTGCCGTAAAACAAGAGGATAGTCTCGTTCTTGGATCAAAGCAAAAGCTTCGGTTGAGTGGGAGGGATGAGTAGTTGAACATCCTCTTCCTGTGTTTCACCTCGAGAGGAAGAGGGTGACAAGAGTCATTAGATTCTCAAGCCAAATTTACGGCAATCATGAAGCCAGTATGAACACCCTCACAAGTGATGACACAGATTCAGTGAGTCATAACCGCATCTGGTCCATGCGCATGACGTTACGAAGCCTGCTGTACTAGTGGATACAGTAGTTGTAATGCATCCTCATAACATATGAGTCATACGTTATGTCATTCATACGGTATGACTGACAACTTTTTTGAAGCCCATCAACCACCAACCGCTATTTCTCTGAACCAACAGGTACACTGACGCAAAGCTGGAAAATCGACAGTTCATCAGTAACAGGAGACGACCCGGGCTTCCTTCTACCACGCTCCCAAATCCACTTCGAAGAAGAAAAGCCTTTCTTTATTGAAGGAAGTGGCTCTCTTAATAAATATATAAATAACAAACTAACCATTCTGAGTGTACAGAAAAATTACCCAAGATGTGATGAATATAACAGTGTCATGGGTTGTTTCTCAGATTGCGATGCCTATAGATGAAAGGGGCCACAGAGAAACGAGGAATATACGTGCACGTATCACTGATCAAAGATGGCACTCTTTGATCAGAATATATCTGAGACGTGATAAACAAATGGTGGCCTACGTTACTTACAGCTTGCAAGCTTGGCCATGAAGATTGTGTTCTACAGTTAAACTGCCACAGATTCTGCTCGAGTTACTCGCTAGCACCAGAAACTCTGATCTCATAAACAGAGAAGAAATATTTTTCTTCCAACAAATCATAAGCTTCAGAGCTGTAAGGAGCTAGGTATTACCAGAATGTACAAAATGGGCGATGTCAAAGTGTTCCTCTTTCAGAAACCGTCAATTTTCTACCTCGAGATCGCAGAAACATGATTCTGATGGATTATAGAGACCAACGTGAAACTGACAGTATGAAAGAGAAAGTGAAGGTATGTTACTATACAACTTACTGTCTAAGCTTCGTGCATCTGACGAATAGAGTACCCAGAAAGAGACACGCAAAATATTTAGGGATCGTTCTCTCGCAGAATCTCTCTCATCCACATTTCGAATAGCCTTGAGTCATGACGAGGTAATCCTCACTCATGGATCGAGTTCCATTCTCAGCTGCAAAGATAAATAGACGAATTGAACAATCACAAAAAAACCTGATGCTTGCCGGCGAAATGGAACTATAAGAAACCATCATGCAGGCCCCACAGAATGCAAGACAGTGGTCTGACCCAAAGTTGCTCCAAAGCTTCTTTGCCAGGATCCAAACTAGGAAACCTACGCAAGTCTGAGAGATTAGAAGCAGAATTGCAACTATCTGGAGCGAATTACAGCGTTTGCTTAACGTGGTGTATTGGTCAGAGTCCAGATTTGGTGTTGCTGTCCTTCAGAACAAGATCCTCCCACTGTGGATTGCGCGGAAGAAACGTATCGGATATGTAAGTACAGACAGGCAAAACCAGAAGCCCTTTGTCCTTGCAGTGCTGGAAAGCAGCTACACATAATTTTGCTGCCACACCTTGACCGCGGAAAACGCTTGGTACAAACGTATGTTGCATAAGCATCACCTGCTTGTCCACTTCGTCTTCTGTTTGCTTGGTTGTGCTGCAGTGTGTGAGGGGCTTAATAGCGTATCGCAAATACGCCTTCCCATCTGGCGTCTTGAATCGGTGGCGCTCTTCGTCCCATATTATTTCGTCCACCTTCGCTGCACCTTCAGCTGCTGCCGAGGAGTCACTTGTCTTCTCTTGAGAGAAACTCTTCTTTGCAGACATGTTTACAAATGCCCTGCACTCCAGGAAGTCAGCGAGATCTACCTGAAGAATGATAGCAGCTACTGCTCAGAAGTTAGGGTTACGAAATGCATCACTATCGGAACTGATCGATCTGAATTGCAAGCCGGAGACATGACTACCCTCATTGGATTTGACTTGTAGATATGTAAAAGCGAGACTGTTGAGCCTGATAATTCCATAAGCGACTAAGCTTCAGTTCAGCAAAGTGGTACAAGTAGCAGCGATTGCAAATTTGTAGCCTTCTACAATCAATTTGCTTTACTAACAGAGTACAGAACATAAGCCTAAACTGTTTTCTTCACCCGATTGTAATAGTCGTGACTGTCCAGTTGCGAATAAACTGCAACTGCTGCAGATTTAACCAACGAATATGAACAAACATTCGCTAATAATCAAGCACCACACACGGAGAGTTCACCACTATTCTATTCGAGTACAGATGTGCCAATCCATAATACCTTCGCTTCAAATTCTACCGCCACAACACTGAAAACGACTAAGTAAACAAATTCTTGTTAGCGGCTCGTATAGCCAGTTTCGGGAGGCAACAGATGATTGAAGGAAATGTACATGTTAAAGAGTACAAATTAGGTGAATATGGACGTCGCTGAAGGCTGCGAGCTAGAAAATTCAGCATCGAGAGTGTCTAGAGCCTTTCACACTGTCACATAGCTGAGCCTAATCCGAATTTCAATTTCTACTTACGATTCAATGACGGTTCGTCTCCAATGATTCTATTCCCATCGTTAAAATCTCAATCGTTTTTATAGGTGTGTAAAACCAGCCAAACGAACATTAAAAAGTGGGGGAATTAGAGTCATGTACTTAGCAAACAACCATGATTGACTGCCGAGTAACCCAGAGAATGAGGTCGTTCACACAAGGTTATCCATCCATCCGAATTGGCAACGATGCAGATGCGCAAACTACAAGTGGGAGAGACTGAATAAATATTTACCTGCAGCACAGCTTGCTCTCTATCGCTCGGGAGGCTTGAAATTGAAAAGCGTTGCTCAATTTCAGAGGCAGCATCCTCAATCAGTCCAAAAAAGTCCACAAGCATTCTCCATAATCTCGTCCCAAATTGATATAGGAATGGAGTCGACTCGAGGACCCAGTCATGGAGCCCTGTTGGCCCTCACTGATTCAAGAAGCACAGGTCTGAACATGGAGTACCTTTTCCACTGAGAGATTGTGCAGAAAATTTCATACTGGAGGAACTCATTTCATACCTCCACAAGGAACCATACAATTTGTAAGAGGGGAAACAAGAGAAAGGCGCGAGTGGCCAAAAGGATGTAAAAGTGAGACTGAAAAGTATACGAAGATGGAATTTTGCAAAAGGAACGAGAAACATTCAAAGGACCAGAAGAGAAAATCGATACTAGCCTTGGATCAAAAGTTGCCGGACAATTTTCAACTCGTTCTTGTTTTGTTATGTTATGTGTTATGTTCTTGTGAGAGCCTTTGAGCAACGTCGGGGCAGCTGTATGGTGTGACTCGGACACCGTGGTGGGAATAAATTGCATGAGGAACTAGGTCAAGTAAGCAGAGAAAGAAGATGTGAATTGACCATCTAGGAAATTCTGTGTCCCAATTATCTATTATTATGAGTTGGTTTACAAAAAAAAATTGCTTTTGCTATTCAAAATATTTATATATTAACATGTATAGGATTCCAAAATACTATTTGTAATATTTTCGAAAGGCATTGCCTAAAATATACTAAATCTAGAGAAAGTGATCCGTTGCTTCCGATGGGTTCGAGTACTAATCAAAGGAAATGTTGTCGTTGAACGGAAATACTTTTCTTGATGGTTGGAATTGGCATCGTGGGCACTTAGTTGTGACGATGGAGTTAGAGTCCAAATAGATGAAGTAGTGCAAGATTTTATAGAGTAAAATTTTAATATTGATGGAGCTTCAAAATTACAATTTTGTCAACGTGAAACATAAGAGATCCAAAATATTACGCTATTGGAATAATGAGAGTGTTCCAAGAGAGTATTGGGAATGACTTATTGATAGAGGGTGAAGTTGAGCTTGTTCGCAGCCTTCTGGAATATTAGATTATTGTAGCCGATGTAGTAGGATTTTACGGTTGGGGTGGCCAGGGAGCTATCACACATTACTCTAAAATTCATTGGTACCACTCAAATTTGGCTCATGTGGTTAAATTCACAACGTATTTGACTCAGGCTTGCCCGAAATTTGCCATTGATTGTATGAAATCTCTCAAGTTGACTAAGGATATTAATAAAAGCACGACTCAATTTAGTTTAAGTATCACGAGATACTGTTAAACATAAGGGGTTTATGTCTAACAGTATCTCGTGTTTAAGAGTGTTCTACGTCGTTAGACTTGAATCTATATTGAACCCATTCATATGAGTCAGACCTCGAGTTATTTTGATATGAGATCACAAAAATCTTCTGAATTCACATCTTAGTGCGATGTTTGGCTTTATTGAACGCAGACATGCAATCTGAAATCCAAACAACACCAATGTTGGTGCTAAGCAAAATGTCTAGTATTCTGATTTTGTCTAAGCACATGAAAGCTATGATGAGACCTTACACTTTTACGATATACCGCTAACACATCTTTTGTAATGGCGTGTGCAGGTGGTCCAAAACACGCCGGGAGAGTGCAAGTGTTAGTAGCAGCAAATATTCAAATTTGAACGTAGACTTCACATTATCATCCTTTACTTCTGGGCACCTATCGTCAAGAAAGAATTCTAGGAAATCTCGTTATATTATCTTGTTATATTGCTGAAAATTAGTCAAATGCATTCTATAATCCTGAGGGCATGGTCATGTATACGTTGGTGTGATTCACTCACTAGCAGCTAGACATTTATCATCAAGATGGAAGAAGATTTGATTGTATCGGCTGGTTTGTTTCATACAAGAAAAGATTGTGCCAGATGATGAGATCTTGAATGGAGCTCAGTAGGGATCCGGAATAAGGTTGTTTGAATTGCATACAGATTCTGATCTAATTCTAGTATTATTTAGAGCAAAAATGGTATTATAATAATACCACTGGTTATAAGTGAAGACAAAGGAACTCCAAAGTTCTGAGTATAATATTTCTCTGGGTTATACAAACATTGAGCGAACGCGTCCAATCGGGAAAAGTAGAAGTGACAAGGGAAACCAAGCCAGAAGACAGAGAATAACCCGAAAGACAGCCATGTTACTAAGTCCATTATTTTTCCAAAGGTGATGAAGGAAACAATACACAAATCACTCACCCATGACGAGTACTTTGAAAGAGTGAATTCATCTAAGATTATCTCCTGAATGTTCCATTGGATTTTCTATCTTGGTTATTCTTGGACGAGCATTCAGAAATCTGGAAATTACTCATGGTATAGATGTCAGACTGTGGTTTCTCGTATGTTTACTTTCTGTAAAGACATGACAGTCAACCCAATAAAAGAAATTTTAAAAATAAAATATAAGGCCCAGCGTTGTATGCACAGAAGGAGGCTAGATTTGAATGCCGTGGAGCAGAACGTGAAAATGGAATATTGCATATTAAACGAAAGAAGTTAGTCTAAACTCTTGTTCCGCTAGTTAAATGTGTCCTAGGGTTTATGGTTCTTTTCGGCTACATTACTCGGATCTCACTTGATGGGGTCCTCTTTACTCCCGGGAACAAATAAGAAATGAATGTGTCATACACCTTCGTATCATTATGTCGTAGGGCCTGTGAAGATGGTCACTCTTGCGTCTTACGTGGTCATTTTCTCGATGCGTTATCAGCTTCCACGCAGTACTTGTGAGTACAGTCCGTGTCTGAATTCCAAGACTCACAAACTGAAATCATTTCAACATCAATTGACAGGCTCGTTTCAGGATACAGCACGTGGCTGCTTGCTGACTCAAGATGGTGTGACATGACGAGACTCCAACTACCATCTAATAAGCTCTTATAGCCCACGGATTGCCCTTGTTATGCTTCCGAAACTTATCCTGCCAGACGACCTTGGTAGCAAAGGAATCGGGATTCATGCGCCTCAAATCCTCAGCAGTCGCACCATCCAAATTGCCATTCGTCTTCGCATTGGCATCGTTCGAAGAGTCTTGCACCGCCGGGGCCTTTTTGGAATTCGTGATGACCTCATGAAAGGGAGCAGGAGGATGTCTCTGGCAGACGAGAGGACTGCCTCTTTGGCGAGTGATGATCGGGGAAGGAGGCGGGCGCTGGGAACTCGCGGCAGGTTTCTTGTCGCCCAGTCTGGGAGTGTGCGGCCTCGGAGTTCCGGCAGCCGACCGCGCCGTGATGCCGCCGAGGGCCGGCTCCGGAATCACCAATTTATTCACTCCCTTCTCGGCACTTTGCGGCGTCTCGGGACGCTTGGGCGATCGAGGAGAAGGCGAAGGCGAAGGCGCGCCGGGGTCGGGAGGTTTCCCGCAGCTGCTGCAAAGCCTGGCCGAGGAATATCCTCCGAATTCCGGATCTCTTCCACTCGCCACCGATTTGGGCGACCCGCCCGCTCCCGCCGGGAGCTTCCCGCACTGGCAGAACTGCGACGACGCGTCGGGAGTGAACGCGTCCCCGGCGCCCGCGAGAGGAGTCGCGGGCCGAGACGAGAACCCCGGCAGCTTCAATCCCGCCGCGGCCGCATCCGCACCCTTGTCGGGCTCCCCGCCCGGATGGGGCTCCGTCCCATTGCCGCAATTCGTCGGCGGCGCATTCGCGGCAGGGCTGCCGCCTCTTGCAGATCTGGGCGTGGGAGCGTTACTACCGGACGGGAGCGCCTCGGACGTTACAGCGGCGCCATCTTTGGGCTTGGGCTTATTCTTTCGAATTGCGTCGATGATGGTTTGAAATTGCACCTGCTGAGGCGCCGTGGCCAGAGGCGCGCTGCTGGGGCGATCGGACCAATAGTGCCAGAGGACGTTGGGAACGGGCGGGAAGTCCTTCGTCTGCCATCGGTTGTCGGTGACGATGGAGCTCCGCGTCGGGAAGTGGGGGAGGGGCTTGTCGTCGGGGTCGGCTCCGAGATGCGCCGGGGGAAGTTGGCGCAGCCAGTCCGAGACGTCGGTGCTCGTCCTTCCGAACCACGGGATGGCGGCCGGCGCAGTGCTGGGCCGAGCCTGCTCGTTGAGTCTGCCTTTGCCGAAATTCGTCGGAGGGCCCGCGTTGATGTTCGCGGGAGCGAAGGCATGGCTGGGCACGATCTTCTCCAAGTAGTCTGTTATGTCCGAGTGTCGAATCCCGAAGTACCGGTGCCCTCGATGGTTCTCGGGCCTGTACTCGAGAGGATTCTTCTTCTTCTTGAGCTTCGGCCTCTGGTGATTGAAACTGTCTAGCGGCCGCCTGACCACCTTCGGCTTCGGCGCCGGAGACCACATCTTTCAGACTCCCATTCGCTTTGAATCCGGTTCTCATGCACTCGTGTTCCGTGGGACGTCATTTCGACGAGCGGGGCTCCGAGAGGAAACACTTTGTTGCATCCAGAAGCAAATCTCGTGCACTTGGAAAACACATAACCACATTCTGTATTTCGCTGAGGCCGACACCAAGTTGATTTGGTTCTTGAGGTAACAAGCCATCGGAAATCCGTCGAATTCCGATCACCCCGCTTTGGATGCGAGTGACCGCTGATCGGCCACACCGGCCCGATCCTGACGCCTCGTAGGACTTCCTTACGTCGGATCTACTGTGTGTCCCTCAATTCTTTTTAAGATTGTGCGGGGATTGAATTGAATCTCATCTCTGAGTGCTCAGATTCACCAGATATGCCGAATCGAGTAGCCATTTCCAGGTGGGCATTTGAGCCGCTGAAGACCCGGGTCCGGTCCGTACCTGGATTTCATTTCGAGACGACCACTCTCACCGAAATTGAAAGTGGGATAGCGGTTATTCCGCGCGCTCCGAACTGACCCGTATGCATGCGCGGTATTTGACATGAGACGGCCTCCTCTGAAGGCCGAGTCGTCTCCTGAGCGAACTTTCCTTTACGAGCGCAATTCGCCCTTCGCCGATGACGGTCTCCATCTCTTTAACATCGATGGCGATTGCGGTAATTAAATCAGCCCCGGCCAGGGCAACTTAAATCTCATATTTCATCAAAGCTTTAGATACAATCCCCTCCAACTTTCTTACTCTCCTTATTAACATTTCCTTTAGTACTGGACTTTCTGCAATTCAACTCTACTAACGGTCTCCCCTCATTTAGATCATACAATGTAGATATACACCGATTAAGAGTATATGGATTTACGGACTGATGCAAAAAAGGGGCGTCAAATGGATTATCATAATCTGTGTGAATTCTCCGTACCGGGACAACAGGCAAAATACCAGAGGAAAAAGCTAGCCCCATTCCTGAGAATATAATGATGTCAAATCATTCGGCATCAGATGCTCTCATATATCTAATATAATGCGTGTTAACGATAGTTTTTCCCTGTGATACTTGAAAATTTTTTATATATAATCCTTTTTTAAATATTACTTTTTAGTATTTGATACTTGTAGTTTTCATTTTTCAAATTTATTTATGATCGTTTGATAAAGTAATCTGATGATAATGATTTCTACGTAAAAATCCAGCTGAACACATGTATATATATATAATGTAAATGCATCACACAAGATCAAGCATGACATAGACAAGTAGGATACTTGAGTCCAACATGTCTACAAAAATCTGTATGTTTTTTGAATGATAATAAAAGAAATTTGGCTCACAACTCGAACAAGATTTCCCTCAATCTGAACGTCTCCGAGAATTTTGTATTCTTTAATACTGAACACATGATAACTATCGGAAATGAAATTCAAGGTAAAACTTTATCATCTGAAACAAAGTAAAGCCAAAGAAACGAGTGAAAGTCTTTTGAACTTGTCTATTACTATAAATCTGTGTAATTATATTTGTTTTTTATACACTTTTCGGTATAATCAACAATGAATTCATTGATTGAGTTTATTTACCATATAATGCTTGTATTTAGGGAGTTTCTGCTATATTTATCTAATTTATTTTTACTTCAAACGTTCAATTTGAAATATTTTCTTGAACATAAGAAGCACACCTTATGATAAAATAGTACTGATAAGTCTTTGAATAGAATCTTACTTTATGTAAGTTTATGATGGTTTAAAAGCTTCTAAGACTTATGTATAAATTATTTTTATTATTGTCGATGCGTGTGAGTTCAATCTGGGTGATTATGAAAATCTATAATTGTATATATACTGGCTCTGTCATACTCAAGAATATTTGCAATATATTATCATTCAAAAATTCAATGTGACATACCAACGGATAGGTACATCTACATCTAAAATATCCTGTGATTCTTAACACACCTTTCGGTATGTCATAGATACTTGCAACCCTTCGCACACGTCGAAAAGAACATACATTTTAACGAAATTTCCCTAACGGTGTTGTCAAGTAGATGATGAAGAAGTTAGTAATTTGTCAGATCTTTCGACTGTTAAGATTGCAGGTAGTAAAGTGGGCATTCTCCAAGTGATTTCGTTACTGTTATAATATATACTTCTCTAGAGATGGGTGTCGCCTCAAAGCATCAAACGATGGAACTTCCAACGTTTAGGCGCCCTTTGTTGAGATTCCTAGCTCAGCACCTTTCTCTCAGTAAACCCGACAGTACAGCCCATGGAATTCGCAACGAATCAAGGTTGTACCATAGAACAGCTTTCCGCCACAATTTCCTCTCTCGCTTCGTACCGGGGTACAGGTTCCACAAATTGCATCCCGAGTGACGACAGACCGACGAGCACCGTTGTGTTATTCGTTCGAGATGTAGATTAGACAATACTTGCCCACAAGTCCCGGACTGTGATTCGAAGATTCAAAATGATCTTCTAAATATCTAAGAAACATGAATGAGCTCGGAAACCGTTGAAACATATCAAAACCTCTTCAATCAACTGAGAACGCGAAAAAATGTGGTGTCTGCGTGGACTAAGTCAAGATTTATAACTCCCACTGCAATTCCTTTCTTAACAGGACGGCTTCAACAGACGGGGAGAACGTGTCACAGAACAGAGTGACCTGTAAGATGAAAACCTCCCACTCTCCGGCTAAGTCAGAGAGATGAAAGTGCACTTTGAATGATAGAAGAAGTGCATGTATGATCCGAGAAACAGGAAATACTAACCAACAATTGTTGGAAGAAAAACCACAAAATGAAAAACTCATGTAACTGCAGCGCTCTTTATGTGTAGATAGGACATAGAATCCATCAACCAGGAAAATACCCAGAAAAAATGAGGAGGTGCTGAGGTCATACTCAGCACCTCAGCTGAGTTCATACTCATACGCCGGAAAACATGAGTATGAGGTTACGAAGTACGCGTTCGTGAGCGGAGAGTAATACGTGTCCGTGATTCGTCATATTTCGGAGATAAGATAACAACTTCTGATCGATACCGTGCCCGAAGTGTGCAAGCTAGGCGTCCCATTGTTTGGCACAATTCCAGTCTCCTCAAGAGTGGTGTTTTTTTATCTCTGGTGAAGCCCTCGGGAAAGAGAACGAGGACCCTGTGTATGGCAGAACACGCAACGGTCTACAAGGCAGTTAAAAGGACGAGAAAAACTAACAAGAGAAATGTAACAGGAATGCTATCGTCCGCGTCTGTCATGTAATTTCAACAATATATTTCTAAGTTTAAATTATGGCATGACGGTCAGTAAAAATTATGCAACGCAGAGACCTGGCTGCCATGAACCGGCTACTCCACCCAGAGTATCACTCCTTCACCATGCTTCCTGACATTCACCAGAGTTTGTGCACTTGCTATATTCAGAAGGCTGTTGCACTGATCTTTGAGTGATGGGACCGGACCTGCAAAGCTCAGAGCCCGTCGGTCAGACCTGCACGGGGATCTAAACTGCAAGAAAACGCTATATAAAGGAAGAAGAAATATGCTTGAACCATCAGAGACATTCCAACAACTAAGATTTACACCTATATGATGACTAGACATCAAATCCCAACCCTTCCCGGGCTTCGTCGGTGGACTTCATGGAGATCCGTCCTGCGTGTTCCAGCCACCTACAGAAAAATCAAGAACAGACTCCACTCCTTCTCACCACCCCATAAACAAGTTATACGGGAACATAAAAGGCTCTCTTCAGGATGTGGAGATCCATACACTTGTGGAAATGCAGTACATCTAAAAAAAGATCATGAGATAATTAAGGGGAGTGTCTCAGGATTCTGACCCATTAAGGAAGTATATGATCAGTTTGAAAAGAAAAATCGTTGCCTAAGGCCAGGGGTACAGCGGAGATGCTCCACAGAAACCACAACTGCACCACAAAGTCAAATAAAACTGAACACGTGAGACGAACCAAACGCTGAGCCAAAGGCAGAGAGACGTACAGTCCCATTTCTTCTGAGCTGGAACCAGCATGGAGAAAGGAACATCCAGGCAGAATCATTCTCCCAACCTTATGGACCTTGAAAACTCCAAACGTCAGTTGAGAGCACACATCTCAACAAAGGAGTAATATTTGACAGGTCTTAGTATCCTTTTCATACACTTCGAGTTACCAATAGTAACATCAATCCAACGAACAACCATCTCAGGCTGTCGATCGTAACAATTCACTACTTTCATTTAAACCTACACAGTTTTGAGTCAACCAGAATATAGCAGGCTTACTCCAAAAATATTGGCAGCAATTTCACTGCAAAGCAGCCGCCTCCTCGAGCTTATCTCTCACCATGAACTCCTTTCGATACACGAAGACTACTACGTTCTGCATAACATTCAAAATTACAATCAGCGAAAAAAATACGGAAGTCTTGAAAAAGTCTGATAGGGAAGGTTGTGACTCAGCTATCGCCTCATGACATACCCCTCTCTGATGAGAAAACAGTAGAAGTGGAGGATGGAACCAATGGCAAGCAAAAACTGCAATGAGGAAAAGAAAATGTAATGCTGGATCTAAGGTTACCTTAAAGCCTCAAGACATACACAAGGACGTAGACATATGACAATTGATATTTAGAAATAAAACAACGTGCTGGTTTTTTGCAGGATTCAGTCAATATGCGTTGTAGACTCTTAAAGAGAGTATAAAATTAAACGCTTACCTAGCCTAAGAAAAAAAGCCACCGAGCTTCTTGGCGAAGTCATCTTCCTCTTCATCGTCAAGCCCAACAAAGGCTTCTTCGTCTTCATCATGGTCTACATCTAACTCTCTGACTTCTTCCTCGTAATCTTCTTGGACATCGCCGTAATCAGAACCATGAACAGGTTCTTCAATTATATCGTCTTCACCTCCTTCAACAGTCTGCATGGCATTTGCTGTTTCATCGTGTTGCCACTGACTGTCCCTTGATGAGGTACCCTGAAGTTCAACTGCTCCACGGTCCAAGGAGTACGTGTTCCTATCTTCATCATTCATATCATTTCTACTTTTAAGAGCGCCATCATCGTCAGACAACAGCTCTCCATCCTCAACGTCTGCATCTAGATCTGTTCCTATTCCTGTGTCTACCTCTCGTAATTCCGACTCTACAGCTGATCCTGTGTCTACACCTGTGGCAGCAACCATTGTACTCCCAGATGGTGAGATTCTTTGCAAATGATCTCTACTTGTTTCCTCTGGCTTGGCATCACCTTCTGGCTCCACCTTGCGCTTCTCCTTTAGGATTGCACTCAAGGACTTCGGTCCTTCAAAAGCTGTAAGCTTCTTCACTTCACTGGGGACCACCTTATCCAGCCTAATCTTCCTCTCTTCAATGGAGGCATCACCTGACATGGCATCCCCGACGAAAATTGCAGGCGATTGCTGCTGGCTCCGCCCGGCTGCTCCCTTCGATGCGGAACTGGTCTGAAGGGGTAACTTAGAACCATTTAATGATTCCTTCTTAGAGGAACCTTCGACTGCTCCCTTTCTCTTCTCAGCTTTAATTTGCGCCAAGGTCTTGGGTCCTGCAAATGTTGAAGGATCCTTCCTCACTTCCTTCTCCGTCTTCCTATTCCCTTCAAGATCCATATAGTTCCTGCCTTCAGATTCTCCGAGAGAATCTGAGACTTTTGAAATCCTACTATGTTCACTTTCCTTGAGTCCACTTCTCGAGTTGTCGACCACGGACCGACCTTTCAATCCAGGTTTACTCTGAACTCTGTCTGTCGTAGATATTGCCACCTCGGCACCAATATCTTGCAAGGCTCGTCGAGCCACCCCAGCAGTTTCAACTGGGTTCTTCTCAAACTGCCTTCTGCCACTGAAATGATTGTTGTACCTTAATCCGGATTGAATAAAAAGTTCCTGTCTCAGCTGAAGTTCATGCTGTTTTTGCTGATCCTCCTGCTGCCTTTGATGATGCTGGTACTCATCCATAGGCATCTCAGTACGCTGTCTTCGTGAATGATTCTCCGAAGAATGTTGCGGACCTCCATCGGGTCTCCTACGCTTTACGCTTCCAAGTCTTGACCGGTGATCATTATTACCGCCACCAGAACGTACATCCACTTCCATAGGTAGTCCTAGTCTTTCTCGGGCAAGCATCTCATCCGGTCCACCTCTGTCAGAGTAGCCGCCTCGTTGGCCCATGTGCTCATAGGCACCTGAAGGATCATACCCTCCTTGCTGTTCGTGCACACTGTACTCATATCCACCATGCTCATAAGACGCATTGCCTTCATATGGATGGTCATATTGGTGGGGATAATCATAATCGTACTGCTCTATGTCATCGGCCATTCGCATCGACCTTACTCTACTTCTGCTGCCACCTTTCCCTGTCTCCAGTCCCCCTTCACCCACTGATTGAAACTCTGAGTCATCAGGGTAGCGCGATTGCTCTGGCCCGTCATCCACGAGTACATCGAATCCCGGTGATGACTCTTCCCACCATTCATCTTGTTCCATACCATTCTGCACCCTATCATCGCCAGGCTGAACTTGGCGGATACGTAACCTGCCGCTGCCGACATGACCGGAACTAGGACCCTCTGATCTACCTCTAGCCCCACCGTTTTGGTTGGCTCCGGTACCTGGGTACGTTCTTACTTCCTTGCGAGGGCTTGTCTGAACACCTCCTACGTGAGCTGGTCTTGTCTCCGCAGGAGCTTGTGTTTCGAGTGTAACCTCAATGTTTGGCTTTGCAGCTACTCCATTCGCGGCTGGCACAGATTCCTTGTCGTTAGATTCAATTGCGCTTGCTGGACCTGACCTAACCGGTCGTTGTGGCGCTGAGGATTTCGGTGCCAAAGATGGTGTACCGTGCATGAACGTACATTTCTCTCCCTTGGCACAAAATCCCTGTGAAAAAAAATAACATGGAATCCTGGACTTGTTCGCAACTCCCGGAATCGGTGCAGCGTTCGCAGCTACAGTCGGCCGTCCTTCTAAAGGCTGGCAAAAGATATCAAATTTGAGAACAATTTAGTACAGCTTGATCAATCGCTACTGACGTTCTCATCCCAGCAATCCTAATTTTACCAAACCGACAGAAATCTCTTCTCAAATGGATATATTATCGCATATCCTCCTATCGGATCCACTCTTTACGCGCTTTCGATAGTCCCCATTGGCGGAGCTGTCCATGAAACAGGCACTTAACCAAAGTAGGTGTATTGAACCCCCAAATCTCCACTAGCGACGACACTTGCAGCAAAATATTAACCTGACTAATTCCGCTAATTAGATATAAAGAGATCCATGAGTTGATGTATCACATGAACACGTCTATAAATATCGACCAACCACGTAAAAAACGGGGAGTTTCCTACACTGCAAGAGGAGCTAGGTTTCACGTAGTATCCATGAATCTCAAAAAGTTCCGAAGCCTCAGCAACACCATCAACGACTAGATCGTGCCCTGTCGCTGCTGATGTTGCTGAGAGGACGTCCTTAAGCCAAGAGCCCTTGTGCATCGAACACACACGAATCTCTTCGCTGATGGGTTTATTGACAAACACCCTCTCATTGTTTCCTCTCTTTACACGCTTTCTATCCTCCCTATCGGTGGAACTCACATAGAAATTCCTCTCCCATCGAATGGTTGATTTTTAACCCACAACATCACTAGCAAAGAACATCCAGTCATATTAAAATGACTGATTCGGATGGATCACTACACAGGGCCCATTTATTAATGTAGACAAGTGACAGGATTCTCTCCATATCTGAGATCAAGCTGAAAAGATCCTCAAGACATACAAACACTAAGGTCAATGAGTACAATCTCCTCGTTTCGCCATTATAATTGGAAGCCTTTTCGTCCCATAAGCTCAAATCTTTACAATCAAAGTGGCATCAAACCTAGAATACCAATACAACTTCACGATACTGCATGTTCAGCCAAACACTCATCTTCCTATCTCCAAAACGGTGCATAGTAGAGAAAACGGAACAGTTGAGTGTATTTCATACTATGTCTGTGCTTGTGGGTTGTCTACCAAGTGCATAGAAAGAATGATCTAGCAAGAGGCACAAACATATACGACTTCCGGAGTTTACTTACTGGATGACGGAATGGGCAATCCCAGTTGAGACAATTGCCACCAAGCCAATAACGACAGTCCCGTGGATTTACCCTCGCACTCTCGCTATGACGAAATTCGCAGTCATTTCCCTGCATAGTTTGAAAAATACATAACGAGTGAACACGTTACTAAAGTGGAGGAAAAAAATGTCAATTGTCAAACACGGCCAATCAACAGTACATTTGAACAATAAGTACTCAAAAATTTCCTTCAGAGTTTAGAATTCATGGAGAAGGAGTACACGATATATTAAAAACACTCCTCTCAAGACAAGTTTGAAACAAAGTCTGTAATGTCTATATCCGCTCCTCTAATCCCTTCATGGCCAGTAGTTTTCTGTCATGTCACAGCAAGGCACTGGACGGAGTCTCTTTTACAAGATCATGTGGATGAGAAGGGGCATTGATAACCAAGCCCGTTATGAAACAGGACGAAAGACCTCTTTTCGCAGCACATCGCACACAGTTGTAAAATCCCAGCCCATGATGGACCATTCGTTTGCGTACATATCTGCGGTAAACGGAGACTGTCACGTCGCAACATGCACCCGTGACGAGGGTGGATGCTTTTACCGTGTGAAGGCTGCATAAATGATGATATAGTTACCCATCCGAAGTAAATTCCAAATTTCCCCATCAGATGAACTTAAAAACAACGTGGAGGTTCTTTTCATCTTTTACAGTCTTTGCGTTTCTGATCAAGCTGTGACGATTGCAATCAAAGAGCCCAAATCCACTATTTCCGGGGTACAAAGCTAATCATATCCACTGATGGGATAACCTCCAGAGCTGGCGGAAAAATCAAAGCGGGGTGTAACCAAGCCGCAGTGCTTGCAATCAAGGGAGCATATGTAAAGAACAAGGCCAACCACTAGAGAGGATGTTGCACAATGTGTACCAAGCCATTTGTACAACAGCACTTCCACAGCCACAGGACGTGCCGAGCGAATACGGCAGGCGTTGTCCTCAATGCCCATCCGGACATATGAATTCAACCATAGCAATGCAGACTAAACTACTTGACTTGAATGGCAAGCGTGGGCATAGCATCAAAGCTCAACATTCAAAGGGCGACAATTAAGCGACGAGATATTGTAGAGAGCTTTCAGTCGCTGGGCAAGGTCGGATCTGCACGATTCAAATAAGCTTGGACGTGGCAAAACTACCAACAACTCCGACAGTTCCAAATGTTCTAACTTTACTGGTACAACGACAAAGACTATTTGAAGCAAGAATCCAATGTGTCTCTGCTTACAAACTAAATGGTTCCTGGACGGAATAGAAAAGATCGCGAATATACTCCTTGTATGCAGCTGAAAGAACAGGCTAAAAACAAGGTGGAATGCGCTTAGCGTCTGAAGCAGGCTCAATACCACAGTAACGGTTAGAAGATAAAAGTGGTCACCTCTATATTCTTATATTTGAACTTCCCAGTTCTCCATCTTTCATAAATCTAAGTGGCAAATCTGCTTGGAAATATTGTATATGAAGGTGAGTTCTAGGCCGAAAAGGCGAAGCAAGAGGAATTAGATCTACAGCCTCGTAGACCTAGACATTCTAATATAAGGCTTTGGCAACCCAGCCCACCATTGGCTTTGTGCCGCTTTCTGTAAAAGCTTCATCTCGTTCCTATTTCAATCCTCGGACATGAAAAAGATTTCCAAAAGCACACGGGACAAACTCACAACCTGATGTCAAACACTGAGGTATACGTCTACGAGTCATGAGCAATCGCACTTGATTGCAGTGCGATTTGGAGTTGCGATAGCTTCGTACATCATTGCATCAGCCGATACGTTACTGAGGATCGAAGGTGATCTATCCTCTTCCGTGTAGAGAAAGAACACCGAGGAACTGAAACTCCAATTTTATTCGTAGCTAACCTGCTGTCTGAGGGCAAAACTGCAAACTCGAACGCGCTAGGTAGAATGGCTACAAGAGGTGCGACATCTATGAAGTCGAAAAAGGGTGTTGGGATTTAAGTTCACATAACGAAACGTCTCGTTTCAGAAACCGAAAAACCGTAGGATTAGGTCGGACATGGTTTCCAAGTAGGTGAAGGGCGCGAAAACATGATAGGGACAGTCCCCGCGGAATTGGGACAAAAGTTGCGAGTGTGATCTCATTTGCGCCTCTCCAGTAGGGAATGGAGAGACGACGCACAGTCCACAAAGTTCGGACTAAACCCGATAAAAACCAGTGCTACACTGTACTCGAACCGAGACCTAACGGAAACACAGAAAGCTGAAATCAAGCCCATCGTGTCCGTTTTTCCTCACTCTACGGACGCATGTAACCAGCAGAGCGATCACTTCTTCTCCAAAGCGTGAACAAAACCCATTCATGACCTACCTTCTTACACGTGAGCGGCGACGCCAAGAAGTAGACGCAATCTGTATTCTTCTTCAGCTGTTCTTCGTCCATGGTCGAAAGGCGGTCCAGAATTACCTCACCTGTCACGGGAAAACCACGAAAATCTTTTCCCAGAGCCAATCTACGCCCTACTTGGGCACAACGACCCACAAACTTGCCTCTGTGTGTGGATTTTGCACCATCAAGGCTGCCATAGCCCTGCCTGCCAGCTTCTCCTGTGAGGGGTTTCGAGACTCCTCTCACGAGCTCTTTCTCTCTCCTTCCCTCCTGTCCTGTCCCGTCCCTTCCCCGAGACGCAGCACCTCCAGCTTCACTAGGCTGTGTTCGTCGTTGCTCTCCCCTTCTCAACCAAACTGCGTACGACTAGTGCTGCAGGGTGGTAGCCCGAAGGATGTAGTTTCGGAACAAACTGCGTCCTTCTGGCTACAGCAGTGGAGCAGTGTACCTCGCCCACTAAAGCTAGTTGCGTGACTTATAAGGTACTAATAGGCCGGTTAAGCTTAAACATTGCCTTAATATCTTCTACAACTCGAACCGACTGCGTAGATCAAAGCTTGTTAAGCCATCTTGACCCACCTCAAAGGTATATCATGGATCTATGTTGTACTAAAATTCAAACCGAATATCCTTCCTCGTATTACATGTACTCCTAACTCAGTCTGCTTCATTTCATATTAACAACTCGCATACAAACGGTAGATTAGAGTGATGTGAAGAAGAGACATGTTATTTTTTATCTTTACGAAACCAGATATAACTAGTAAAACAGTGGCCAAATGGATAACAGAACATCTTGGGAATATCCCCATATGGCCCTACAAGATATCAGTGAAGTGTTTCTAAAAAGTGACTGACCTTTTACGATAGTGACATCGAGGGTAAGAATCGTAGTGACGTAAATATTGAGAAAAGAGACATCAAGGTACTTATTTCTTATTTTAAAGTGTTCAAGGGATTTTTTCAAAAGAAGACCCCAAATTTTACGATTGTATAGAAGAATATTATTTTATAAAATATATTAGAGATAAGATAATTTTGTCAACAGCTAAAAAAACAAACAAAAATAATCTCTTCCTTTTACGTTTAATTTGTGAAATATAATTGCGTTGCACATGTGGTGTTTGTTGCGTTATGGGTAAGGATCAACATGTCACATGAATTATCTTGAAATTTTCATTCACATACGTAGTTCCATTGATTTATATTGTTTACCGATAACATTTGAGTGATTTCAGCATCACTTTTTTATTGATCTATGCATGTACGTTAAACAATCCTTCACAATTATAACATAATTATTTAAACAACTTCAAAATTCCAAAAAAATGAGTTATCATCTTTATATTTGACACTATTTCATGAACTATGACAACTCTTACTATTGCATAGTGAAGTGATGAGGCCCCGCAATCAACGTTAATTTCGTATAATGCATCTAGCTTTGGATTTGCATGCAAACTTGATATCAATAGAATGTGCATCAATCTATCACATTAGATGGCATGAATATTATTAGCTGTATACAATTCATGGTAGTCAATTTATTTCTATTCCTTCTTAATAAGAGCAGATTCATGATCTGGAGTTTTCTTAAATGCTATTATTATCATTTGTAGATAATTACCTCAATAATATGAATACCTTAGATGTAATTTACACATATTTCATCATGATTATTTGGTTATAATCAACTTAATTGAACTTAGTTATCTTATTTCATCCATATTGGGCTTGATGAATTTTTCTGTAATCTCATTATTTTAATGAGTCATTTGAATGAAAAGCGTTGTATATATACTATATGCTATATTTAAGAATATACATTGTAATAAAATAATATAGAGATCACATTAACGCAAATTATTGATATTTAGGTGTGTATATGTGATAATAAATATATATTATATTTCTATTGTTCTTCAGAAACTGAAATTCTATAATTGAGATGAAAATAATATATTTATATACATTCAAATTTGGACATTCTATATATATATGATAAATGATTTTAACAACAAAATATTGTTGAAATCTATATTGCATATATTATTTTAAAAATTTCGAAAGTATATCATATTTAAGTAAGAATTTCAAATGTACATTCAAACTTAAATGTATGTACATCAATCTCAATAAATTCACATAGTTAATTTTTAAAAATATTATCAAATAAATGTATATTTAAATACAATACCATGCCAGAGATCACAAAAAATTCAGTGATATAGCATAAAAAATTTAAATATTAATTAAAAAATGCATACAGAATATCCATTGATATATATATATGAAAAATAAAATTGGTTCTATGATTCGTTTTTACTCGCGAACGCATCCCTACAATTAGCTAGATTTTAAATCTTAACATTGCAACAATGACTTTTGGCCGGTGATGTCCGAATCAATTTTTGTCAAGAAGCGACCAAATTCTCACCATGATATCAGTATAAGAGTCCTGTATAAGACACATTCTTCAAGCAAAAGTTGGAGAGCGTGAAAGTTTGCATCTACCTGTGTTTCAGACATAGTATGAATCTTATGAAGTGTTGACATGATGGTGCTTGAGGTAAATTTACCGTTATGAGTTTGACGTGGAGAATTGAAAAAAAAAATACAAGTGAGAAGTAAGAGACACCGTTTTTTTTGAAGATTATAGACTTGCATCGAACAAAAATCACCCTTTGGTATGTTAAGATTTAAAATCCAATCAATTGTAGGGAGAGACGTTCTTGAGTTAAAATAAGTCTCATACCAGTTTATAGACATTATATATTTATTTATTTATTTATTTATATGGGTTAAAAATTCAACTATATATTTGTCTGCTAATTTGTGTGTATAGAATTTTATCCACCCCATTTATATAGATGAACGAGTTGTTTTTAAATGAATCTATGTGACAATAGTTAAAGACTCGTTGCAACACAACAACTAGTATAATCATGAAAAAATGTATATCTGCATAATTCTTCTCATGTAGTACACTATAACAAGAATTGATATGTGATTGGTCTTCAGTTTGAAAAGTTTGTTTTTTCAATGAATCTTGTGATTATATTTGAAGATTTGTAATATCACAACAACTAATATAGTTTTAAACCAACGTGAATCTACAAGATTTATTTCCATGTAATCCACTATTATCTTGTTTATGCAATTCAAAGTGGCAAATGAACTTGAAAATTTATTCTTAAACAAATAATTTACATGTGATTGGAATTCTGTTTAAAAAGTTTTTTCTTTCAATGAATTTCTTTGACAATCTTTGAGGATTCGTAACTACATATCAACTAATCTAGTTATAAAAAAACATGTATTTTTTATTCTCATTTAATCCACTATTACCTTGTCGATGCATTTCAAAGTGACAAATGAACTTGAAGGTTTCATATGAAAAAATCAAGTATTGATTTGTGATTGGTCTATGCTTGAAGAGTATGCGTAAGTATTGTTGATGCAAGCAAGAATATCTTGTTAGTTTGTAATTATCATAATTAATTCATTTTAATCTGCAAAATACATTCTGCATCAAAAAATAAAAAAACAAAATGTGATTGCATTTTGCTGATTTGTTGTTCATGTTAATAATTATTTGATCTGCTGAATATTGAAACAATATAGTGTAACACTATGATTTAGAGATAAGTCAACTCAAAAATAAACTTAAAGTTTGAAGATGACAAACTTTGAATGATTTTTTTTCTTCCTTATATAGATACTTTAAACACATGCATACAAATAAAATATTCTCTTAAATACTAAATCGTTTCCTAACAAGCATACGGATTGATGACGCGTTGCTCCCAACTAACACATTAATGGCTAACATGACACTATAGATTTTCACTGTCATCAACTATTTCAATTTTGAATAACCTATGCTTTATTTTTAACTAACCAAAAATGGTTACAATATACATTTATAAGAGTCAACTATCATTTTTGTACATTTTTTGTGACATTGTTTATTGTTAGTAATCTTGTATGTTTTGGGTTTATATATAAGTAGTGAAATCAAGTGATGAACAATTATAGCATTTATTGGATATTTAATTTTAAATAGATGAACATATACTCAGTGCAACATTGTAAAAGCTATGGAATATCGGGCCTAAGTCTTGCTTTCATATGTCGCAAATGACAAAATAATATGGCGGTACTCCTCCCTACTATAGTCCAATAGGGAAATTCACTTCCCAAAACTATAGCTTGCTGAATATATAATTACAATAATTTTGTTTAGAATTTGATAACATTGTACCGTTGTACAATCCATCAAGTAAAATGATACATGATGGATCTTAATAAGCTATTTGTGTTACATAGTATAAGATAAAGTAATTTTTTTTTATATATGTACTCTGATTGGTTTTTATGATTGAATAAAAGTTTTGTTGAAAAAATGTATATGAACATGTGACTTGTGGTTTGACATACTAGCGCTACAAATCACAAATCAATTTTATCATAAATATTTTTTAAAATAATATTTTATGCAAATCAAAAAAATATACAATATGTGACAATGATTAGTCACTACATAAAAATATTGTTTGGAAATTACATGCATTGTGCTTTTTGTATCTTAGACTTAATTTTAATGATTTAAAAAATAATAATTAGAATACACAAACTTTTGTGTGAAAGGCAATAAATTTTCATTGATGTGATCAATTACTTTGACATAACAACTTGTGACATGTATAAATATATATGTATTTTTATTTACAATATTTGTATTACATATTATATATTTAAGAGTGTATGTCATACAATAAATACTATTGACGTTGTGATAAAATTCCATGACTAAAACTTTGCTATTCAAATTGTCAGAAAATTACTCTCTTGAATAAAAATAAGTCTTCATGTGAAAAAACATTGTTATGTTTTTCAACCAACTAATCAAATTATAAATATAAATTAATAAAAAAATATATACATTTAATTTTTTTGACCATGACCTGAGTTTCATGTTATATGCATAATATAATAACTGAATTTGGATTGATGAAAAGATTTGTATACATCTAATTTTAAATACACTTACATAAAAAATAGTTATAGTTCTGGAACAGATTCATGAAAATATCCTGAAAACATGTTTAGATTTTTGAAACATAGAATTCAGATTTTGAAAAATGAGAAAAAATGTAATTTTATATACTTCTCTTTTTTATTTATTGTAAATTTATTTTTGAAGATACAAACAAATCATGAAAAAAAGTCATATAAATACTTGGTAGTTTTTTTGTTAGTAGATAACCCGTTAATCAAATTGAAAATGTCAACTTTTGGTATTCATTTGCATATTAGGACATCTTTAATTTATATTATACATTTTAAGTCTTTTTTATTTTAAGTACATTTATAATATTTCTCGTAATTTGCATCACTCACAAACTTCATCTTAAAACATACATACATATAGTTAATCAAACTTTATCTTATTATATCTTATGTTTCCAAAATTATATGTTTACGTAATAAATATAAATAATTAAACACATATTTAAAATCAATATATAGTAAATAAAATTTTAATTAAAATTTCAATAATAATAATATTATAGGTACGTTTTATTATGAATTTTTGTTTATCACATGATCTTTAAATCAGAATATGTACATAAAATATTTTTTTATAAATACCAATGTCTATATTCCTGAAAAAAAGCTACAAGAAATTTGTAAAATCTACTGTATTGTTTATAGAATATTATAATCTTATTTGCTTCAAACACTATACCATAATTATGGGTAAGTAAATATAAAATAAAATTTGTCACAAATTTGATACGAAAAAATTATTTTATATTTAAAAATTAAAGAATATGTTTCATATAATGAGTTTGATTATTTTCTATTATTTTGTGAAATTCCAATTCAATTAAACAAATTATAAATAACAATTTTTCATGCATTTCAAACCTTTCATAGTTCCATTTAGTTGGATCTAGACTTGTTATAATTATCGTGCTTATATCATCAATATTTATATTGATACAAATATCATTAGCCAAAATATGAAGAAGAGTATGCTAACAAACTATATGATTTCATGCATGAATTGAAACTATACTCCATATTTCTAAGTATTCAATAATGAGACGTTTTGTCTTTCTTCTAAAAAATTTGCAAATTGTGGGATCTAAAATTCTCAATAGATTCAATCTAAAACATTTACAAACATTACAAAATACTGCACATGTCGTTGTATAACTTTTGAACCAAAAAAAAGGTTAAAATCAATGCATTTCATTATAATTTTCATGTTTTTATTTAGAACATACAACATTATAAGATAAATTGAAATCATATTTAATGCATAAACGTTGCCCACATTTAAGATAATTGGAAGAAACAGAACGAGAAATTGTTCAATATTTGTTACTTTTCAAATAACGCACATAGTATGTATGGAGTCAAATTGAGAGTTATATCCTCAATGTTTTTTGATTAATTCAGGTACACTTCTTTTTCATAAATTATGGTAAACATATTGTTCACATAATAAACATGTTTGTTGAGTGAAAAATGTATAGATCATCAATTCCCAGGTAATTTGTAGCTACTATATGAAAACCAATTATCTTTGAGCAAAGACCAATACTATCTCCGATCAAGACATAGATCAAAGGTTGCACATCCTGCATGCTATGATGCTATGGGTGAGCTCATTTGTTGCTACTTTGTGAAAGCCAACTATCTTAACGCAAATACCAATATCATCTTCAATTAGAGATGCTTTGTATCAGTTAGTGTATATACTTGTTGACTTCCACGTTGAACAAAACTTCTCAACTCGAGAGTTGATGACAACAATCTCACTCCAATGGTTAAAAAATTGGACGAAAAGGGGTTTAGGGTACCATATTGGGAAAAAAAATGATTGAGATGATAATATTATTTCCACGTTTTTATCTTTTACGATACGATATAGATTAATCATGACGATATTGTTGATGCCAGGCAACAGGCGCGAATTAAACCTTTGTATTCTTTCGTTTCCGGGAGGACTCGAAAGGTAAAGGATGTCACCACGTGGCCTTGGAATCCAATGTAACTCGAGGCAAGGTGACACATCCTCCCGATGGCCGGAAAATGCAACGTCGAAGCTCGTGACCGTCAGGGCCTTTGGCGGGCAACCCGCATTTCAGATGAGACGAATTTGCTGTACAGGTTGCATGACTCGTTTACTTGCGTGTGATGACGCCCCCTAGTGAAAGAGACCAACAGGGATGGCAACAATGCTACCGAAGCCAGGGTCACACATGTGCGGAACACTGGAGCACAGTGTATAGTAAGTAGCACACAGTAGACAATGCGGATCAGGAAACGCGAGGCGTATGAAACTTGACTTTACATGGAAATATTTGAAAGGGAGTTTGGTGCACCGGCACCTTCGAGCAAGAATATGACGGTTTTGATGACATTCTGAAAAGTCAGTCCACATTTCAATGAGGAGAGACGATGGATTATCTTTCAACTCTGCAGCTCAGCTTGCATTCGGACTTTTCGAATCGTGTCCTGCTCTTGCATGGTCTGTCTGGGTGGCCTCCTAGCAGCGGATCTTATGTCATCTGCGAGGTCAGATGCGCTCGCTGTGCTCCTTAGTCCCTGTCTTGCCGTTGTCGCCTGAAATTGTCAATCCGCAAGATTGGTCACGCTTGTCCGTAAAGATGATGAGCTTGACTGTCCATTTATTTATGCTTTATAAATTTCTCCTTTTGTCTATCAATCCGGCTGAATGCATCACTAGAAGAACTTCTTTTTTACTCCTGATTGCAACCTGATCTGGTAACAGACCGGGTTCGTTCTGTCCGTGTTTCGTTTTAGTCCTATGGGAGGATAATTTTTCTGTCCACGTACGTGACTGGATTGGAGTTTTCACTTTCCACATTGTGTTATTTTGACAGGTGGAATCATCATCAGATCCGAGCTCTGGCGGGTAGGTGATCGTGTTATATATATGATCTTAACTCCATAAGAGCATTGTTTTGAATTTTCAGCTTTTCAGCGACAAGTGGCAGGAATCTCATGATGTTGATTTTTGTAGACAATTTCTGATAACCCGTAGTCCTGGACGGGCGGAAGTTCGTGCTTTTTTCGATTCTGTATCTCAATTTCAAATCTGACATCGCCGATGACAGCACCGACAGTGAAACTCAATTTGTAGTTCAAGCCATTCCAAGACCGTCCTCTGCTCGCAACAAGCTTACCAATGGAGTTAGTGTCAGGTGAAAAAGAGCCCTAAACTCGTTACGCTGTAACTTATTTCTGCTCAAGTCGATGGACTGTCGACGCACCTCCGCATAAATTATACGAGGGATTAAAATCAAGTTAAGCTTTCGTGGGGACTCGCCCCAAATTTTGCAACGTTGGCGGTGGTGTTTGATTTGGTCTCATAGAATTAATTCCTAGATTATCCATGAGAGAAGGTCTGATTGTGTGTTTCACTTTGTTCCAATAGATATGGTCATGAAGTACAGGAGATCGAATTTAAAGAAGGCGATGGCAAGCTTCCCTCACCGACGGAGATCCATGAAGTTGGACAGGAATTGTCAGCAGACCATGACTTGGAAGGACGGGTAGATGGGCCAGGGAAGCGTTCTCCACACTCCGTTATCACGGAGTCCACAGGTCACTCTAATCACGAGACTGTCTCCACCAAGGACAGTGTGGCAGGCGCGGAGGCCAGCTTGATATCTTGTTGTCTCGCTGTTTTGGCTCCTGGCGTACACATTAAGCAAGCTTCTTATGACGAGCTTGTGCGTGTGGTGAAGAAGGGGCGCTGTGGTGTCACTGAATCGAAATCTCTGCCACCACCATCCGTGCCCGCTAATCTTGACGAGTTAACGAAAATTCAAGGGATGGGCCCCGACAAACTCAGTCAGAGAGTGGACAGTCAGTTCTCCCATAGCCAGGATTACCTCTTCAGCGAGAAGATTGCACATCCAAACTTGGCTCCTGCCTTGGGAGCACTCCAAGGGAAGTCTTTGATGTACATACTGTATCAAACAATGCCTCTCACGGTGGAGTCCTTACTGCATTTCAGCCCCAGCGCATTTGGAGGGGAAAATCATATTCGACTTATTATATTTCAGATTTTGTCAGGATTAGATTACTGCCACAAGCAGGGTCTTACTCATGGGGATATACGACCTTCGAACTTATTATTGACGGAGAATCTTTGGTGTATGATCACTGGTTTTTTCAGTGGATTCCTGCAGGAACCAAAGAATCTGTTAGACGTTCGAGGTCCACCTGTTAATGTATCTGAATCAGCAGCAAACGAGGGACCTGGTTATAACCTTGGTCCCCAAAGGAGCATAGGTGGATTTTCTTCAGATTGGAGAGGCGTGATAAAACGTTGGTGGGCTGGCGAGGTCAGCAATTATGATTACCTGCTTTTGTTGAATAAGTTAGCTGGAAGAAGGTGGGGGGATCCCTGCTTCCACACCGTAGTACCATGGGTGATCGATTTTAGCGTAAAGCCAGAACAGAATTCAAGGTTAGGGTGGCGAGATCTGACAAAAAGTAAGTGGCGCTTGGCAAAGGGAGACGAGCAACTGGATTTCACCTATGCTAGTGCAGAAATGCCTCACCATGTTTCGGATGAGTGTCTCTCAGAACTGGCTGTTTGCATCTATAAAGCACGACGTTTGCCCTTGCTCGTTCTTCGGCGTATAGTCCGCTCTGTGTACGAACCGAATGAGTATCCCGCCAATATGCAGCGCCTTTACCAGTGGACTCCAGATGAGTGTGTTCCTGAATTTTACTGCGACAGTCACATATTTGAATCCAGTCATGTAGGGATGAATGATCTAGCTGTTCCGACGTGGGCAACGAACGCCAAGGATTTTATATCATTACACCGGGCAGCCCTTGAAAGTGAGAGAGTATCGCAACAACTACATCATTGGATTGATCTCACGTTTGGCTACAAATTATCTGGGAAGCCTGCAGTAGATGCCAAAAATGTTACTTTGTCGACAGTAGGTCCAACGGTGCCCCGCTCAAGTGGACGACGTCAGCTATTCTTCAGACCTCACCCTCGACGACTACATTGTAAGACTGCCGATGTTGTAAGTTTGGACTCTATTTCAGACTATAAAAGAGAGTCCAAGTTGTGTCTGATTCCAACGAAACTTTCAAACATGCCTGGTAACCTACTTAACGTTTGATAGGGTTTGAAGCTTATAAATTACTTCTAGATACCCATTCGTACTTTGTGGTTTCTCCTGTCTTGCCCACTGAGCGGTCTCCTTGTTTGGCTGTTGCACTATGCAGCCCAATTTTGGTATAACTTGATGTTAAAGTATTTAGGTTGTGATGGTAATAAAATGGTCGGACAAACGAATTCCAGTCGTCTAGCTGTTTATCAAGTGCTTATTTCAAAATGGAAGTGCTGACTGTTTGCATATCTCGGGTTGTCAGGTTTTGGACAAAGCGCTTGCACCAGCATCCAGAGAGGTCTCACCTGATCATGTTCTTTCGAGCACACTACGACCGTTGGAGTGCCTAGAAGAGGTGATTTCTTTCTCTGAGGCAGCCAGGTATCTCTGCCCCGCTTACAAAGTTAAAAGCGTGAGCATGTCTGCAAACATAGGTAAACAAAGATCAACTGGTGAACACAGGGTAGAAGATCCTCTAGTGAATTCACAAAGGGAGCCAACAGCTGTCGCTGATGTGTTGCATGCGAAACTTTACTCTCCTTCTCTCGAGATTATAAGCAGACTGTTAGAGGATAGTAGCTCTTACAGGGAGCTCGTGGAGTGCCTGTACGTAGACGGAGATGATTGGGAGAAGGAGGGGATGTACGAGGTTCGTTGTTTAAATGTGAAGAGAGAAGAACAACACAAAGAGGTTCGTGTTGGAAGTGAAGATATATTTGCCGCAGGTTGCTTGATTGCAGAACTTTATCTGCGTAAACCTCTTTTTGACCCAGTCACAGCCAACGCTTACAATATCCACGGAACTCTTCCTGGCCTTATGGATCTCCTTCCACCTAGCGTACGACTTTTTGTGGAATGTACACTTGACAAGGATCTACTGAGGTGCGTGTCTAATAATTTATGTTGTTCTAGCTGGATATGAGCACTCACTTAAAGCAACTGTACTTTAACATACGTAAGCGAAGTGACGAAATCTGTTTGTTTCAAGAAGTCTACGTAGTATCTATGCTTTGATTTGAGGAGCTGGATCATTAAGATTTCGAAAGTATGGCAAAAATTTGTAGCACTACAATGCGTTTTGGCTAAGCACCAGCAAAGCGAGGTTGCCGGAACACCTACTTGTTGTCCAAGGTGTCAGCAGCTGAAATGTTTCGCATCCAAGTCGAACACAATCTGACTTCCCACATACAGGCGTCCAACGGCATCAATGCTTCTGCAATCTCAATTTTTCTCCCCAGTTATCCGGGCAGTGTATTATTTCCTGGCTCCTCTCAATGTGCTGAGAAGTAAAGCAGATCGTCTCCGATATGTGGCTATCATGGCAAGACAAGGAGCTTTCCAGTCGATGGGTCCTTCTGCGGCAGAGATGTGCACCCCATCATGCTTATCTCTCGTTGTGCCACCTTCGGAGGATATCGATGTGGATGCAGTTGTCTTGTTAGTCACGAAATTGCTTCGAGCTTTGAATAAACATGGAGTGAGGAAACTGCTCATGCCCGTTTTACAGAGACTGCTGCAGGTATTGAAAATCATTAAACTTCTCTTTCTGCGGATTAAAGAAGTGGGCTTGTTACTTTGACGTTTCGGTATTACAAAAGAGATTGTTGGGATCATTGAAATCTTTGATATACTCTCTTCCTCTCCTTTCTATATCGTTCATGACGAGATTATGTAGCTGTTCAAGCAGCTTCGCTGTCCTTCTTATCGTGCCTGTCTCCTGTTCGCCTGTATTATTTTTGCAGAGCCAAGAGTCCCTTCCTCTGAAGACGGCTCTGCTCCAAGTCCCGTTAGTTAAGGAAGTATGGAGAGTGGTGGGAACACCCTCGTATCTACTATTTATCCACTCTTCCATCTTAGCTTGCCTGCGTCGGTCTGCTTCCAGGACCTTGGCAACAGCTGCTTCGAAAGTCCTCGTGAGCATGTGTTTAGATTTGGGAGTTCCGATCACTTTACATCAGGTATAAAATTGTCTACGAGAAGAAAAAAAATAGGTGGTCGAAATTGGAAATCAATGTATCAAATTTGTTTAAAGATAATGCTGTCGTTCTCCATTGCACTTTGAATTTGTCTAGTGTTCGTCGAGTATGCAGTTTTCCCTCTTTGAATAATATTATATAAGGGTAATGTCAAGTCACTTATCTAAAGTAACTTTTTGTGAATGATATGTCACCTTCCGAGTTTCAACAGACTGTGCTGCCTCTCTTGCAAGCGTTTGGCCGAGACATCACACCTGATCACATCGAAGTCTTGATTGGGCTTGGTAAGATAAGTTGAATCTGCCTATGTCAGAGAAGTTTCTTAGTATAAGTTTAAGGTTCTACTGCGTCCATATTGCTGGCAGTAAAGGATACATTCATTAAAATCGGATCGTTTCTATGTTTGCCGCATTCCCTGTTCACATGTATAGCTCATGATGTGTATGTTCTACTTATCTTATATGTATCTTTCTTTTATAGATATTCTTGTTTGTGTAGTATTTCATATCTTTTTCCCCAAAGTGTATTCCTTTATTTCTTGCAGGAGAACAATTGGGTGAAAAACTGGTTGTAAAGCATTTGCTCCCTACACTTCGTAACACTGTTTCAACGAACGTGGATTATTTAATTACCGAACGACCTGGACCAGCCCATAGCTGGCGCCTTTTGGCCATGGTGGATGCATTGGCGGTTCTCGATCGATTAAGAAACATCGTATCTCCAGGAATGTTTCTTAGGGAGTTACTCCAGGTTGTTTCAAACTTGAGGGGAGCAATCTCGTTTGCTTGGTATCTTAAAGTTTTATGATCATAACGAGGATGCGTTATGTTGGTATAGAGTGGCTGGACTAGACATGAAGTTTTTCTGATTTATCCATTTAATTTCAGGAGCCGCGTAATGTGTACATGAAGGTCTTGCTACAACCGCAATTGCCCTCGAGCTTACTGCAGGTATAAACATATGGGAGCTAATGGCCTTGAGTTGAATTAGTTGTCATCCACCCTATTTAGTTACAAGAACTCTTCATTGAAGTGCTGCTTTGACTTTGTTAATCTGATTCTCTCCTCTGTAAGTGCCAGATGTTGACTATGGTTCTTTCGTTTAGTCTAATTTTTGCAAATTTTGGTTGGCAGTGTGCAGCGAGGGCTCTATTGCTGGTATGTGATTTTGTTGGAGCAGAAGCCACAGTTATGCACGTTTTGCCGCAGCTAAAACAGCTGTTTGATGGCCTTGCATTTGCTGGGAAACTGGAGGGAGGATCAAAAAATGGGAGATCTTATCAGAAGACCAGCCTGGGTTCTGTCAGTCAAGGCTCTCAACCACAGAAACCTGATGAGAGTACTCAGAACTCAACCGTCCAGGATAAATCTATCCAATCTCTTATCTCAGCTGTCCGGTCTGGTGGAAATAATGCTTTGACTTTGAACGAGGGACAGAAAGGTGAAGGAGACATAGCTCTTGTGTAAGTTTTCCATGTTTGTGATTCTAATCAAATTTTTTTCTTGTGCTTTTGTATATAGTGTTTCATATGATTATTAAATGTTATAAAGTAGAGTATTCCTGCGAAAAGTTACTATGTATATTAGTTCATTTAGGAGCCTCTCTCTTCTGCGTAATCTAAAAGTGCATGCTTCCAGCAGGATGGCCTGCTTGAAGCATGTCCTTTAAGTGTGAGTAGTATAAGTACCTCTGTTATCGCGTCTCCTCGTGAGTTCTTGTGTAACACATGGGGCCTAATAACGTATTTTCCAATTTATTTCAAATGTAGGCATATTCTGTACCCCGGGCTTGCCTCTCTCGTAGGAATTGAACGACTTCGTCAAGGTCTGACTACATGGCTCCTGTTAGAACAAGCGTTGTTGAAGCACTTCAACTGGAAGGTATCTGTTCATGTGCATCTACGCCTTAGTGTGCTTAGAAGATGCAAACAGAGCTCCAATATATATGCAGGTGCAGGAGAAAAAGACTTGTTTCCGCTGAAGACGTGAAAGTGGAGTTGGCGCTTGTGAAATTACTTTTCGTATGCCAGATGAACCGGAGTTTAGTATAGCGAATTTTACAGGTGGAATATCAAAGCCACATGAAACAGATGTGTTGCAAAGTTGAGTGTTTTTGTGTTGATTCTGGGTGCAGTGGGAAGGCTCAGGTGTGATTCTCTCCAAGAAGGTCGAGAAGCCTATGTCTCCGGAAAATAGTTTCGATTCTGTTAATCCTGCCAACTTGTTACTCGATGGTGTTGGCTGGTCAATACCGCAATCCCAGGCAAGTAAGTGGAGTAAGTCCCCAGGATCCAACAGGAGACTGGGTGAAGCCGGTTTAGACAAACCCAAAGTCGTTTCTGAATCTAATTCAGGTGAGGATGATAGCGCTTGGGCATGGGTGGTCAGTAAGGACTCTCTGGTGGGTTTTGAATCATTTGCTCGAATAGGCATTGGCCTGGGATTAGCTCACGATGAATCGAGCTGGAATTTAACATCTACCATAATCCATTCCTGGAAAGCTCATACTGGATTAGTACGCTCCACGATCGTTGCTGAGGACGAGAACAGCGTGTATACTGCTGGTGGAGGTCCACGAGGGGGATCTGTCGTAAGACAATGGAGATTGTCTACTAGTGAATGCGTAACGGAGTACGCTGGACACGAAGAGGTTAGTTCATGCTGACTCATAGCCAGAAGTCACATTGGAGTTTTCGTCTTGGTACTTTCACATATTGATATGTGCTGCCAAGTTGGTCTTTACTATAGTTCGTCGATTATGATTGCTTTAAAATATTAGTGCTTGCTCGTATCTTATCATTCGAGTGCTTTGCTTGATTTGGATACGTGCAGTCAATCTCGGTTTTGTATCACAACTGGCTAATGAATTTTGGATTACAGGCCGTGAATGACGTCTGCATTTTGCCAGGAGGTAGAAGGGTGGCGTCCTGTGATGGAACACTGCATATCTGGAATGCACAAACAGGACAGCGCGTGGCTTTCTTCGACGAATCCTCGAGTTCCTCCTCACCGCCATCCATGCTATCGTCCTCTTCGGGCCCGACCGGTCCTGGCACCTCTGTTGGAGAAAATGGTAGAGTCGCTACTGATGTGCACAATAATAGTGGGGCTTCCATGCCTAATCACAGCTTGACGGGGACTTTGACAGCGGGTGGTCTTTACACGTGCATGCATGGGATGGAAGCTGAAGAACGACTTGTTACTGGCATGGTCAATGGGTCCTTAAGGTAATGGAGCTGTGCTATCTGTTTCTTTTCATTTGGTCTTTTGTTCTGAGTAAAATCTTTTCGTGCTGACATATATTAGAGGTGAATAATGAGCTAGTAAAAAGTTTCCTGGTTGCTATATGGGAACACGACATGGAGACAATTTCACGGCCAAGGATACCCTCTATACTAGAAAGTAGTCTTCCCTCACCACTCAGCGAGTCTGGTCTTCAGGCAAATACTAATGAGTAAAATGTATATGGATTTTGTTCTGTTTGGTTCCCACCTACATTTTGCAGGTTGTTAGACCATACAGATCAAGGATCGATGATATTTCTAGGGAGACGTAATATTGATGGCTTTTCATTTACTCTTCTTCTGAGCTGAATATAATTACTCTTTTTCTTCACTTTTTTTAGCGAGTTTTGTAGCAGCTGTGGACATGGACATAGGAATCTGAGGATGATTTAAATACTTAAAAAAGTGCGTGCAATGATGAGATTGACATTCACACACTCTCGTATTCTCTACTCTCTACTTGAAAGGAGAAATTTGTTTTATGATATAGTTTGATACGGACCAAAACCTTGAGACGTTTATCGTATATAAAATCCAAGCCGAAGAAATTAATACATCCGTGTTTCAATTGTGATGCGGGCAGATTTTTCGACATTGTACAAGGTCGTCAATCGTATCTTTGGCGTTGCGAACCTGTAGAAGGATCTTTGACATCTTTTGTCTCAGCTATAGCATCATCAGGACAAGGGGAATCAATGGAGGGCAGAAGATATTTCTTGAGCTCCTCATGGATCGCAGTTGGTTTTGGCTCTGGGTTGTGCCGACTAGTAGACTACAGAAGTGGGAGCGTTGTGACTCAGTGGCGCGCTCATGAAGCGTTTATAACTAAGGTTCGTGAGAACTTTCACTTAGTTTTGAGAAATTGGAGACATACTTGAATGTGTAAGAGAGGTGTTCATTAATTGTTCAGGGAACATTTTCAGTAGTACAAGTTTTCGAAGAATGCAAAGCCTCTTGGTCTCTGAAATTCTTTGCTCGTTATGAAGACTTTCCGCTCAACCTGCCTATCGTATCCGAGAGCGTGGGTTTTTTTTTATTATCCCATTCCGGCTCAGAAGAGAACAGAAGTCTAAAAGACTGCCAGTTGATGATTGAACGTGGAATTAGATGTTTTTTAGTATGAAGTCATTTGGACATTCGTATTTGATGTCAAATACTTGTATATCAACTCGAGGATGTTCACTTAAGTAGAGTTTTCGCTGCGACGATTTTATGCATTTTGGACGATTTCTGACTCTGGAACATCTGAAAGCAGTTGTCTGTGTTGGAGGAGCGCTACCTTGTGTCCAGCTCACTGGACAAAACAGTGAGCTTATGGGATATAAGAAGGTATCACATTTCATCTTCCAGTATCCGGTGATTTTCTTTATTCCAACTCAAGATTGCACAACCTTGCCGCTAGATCCATCAGATACCACGAGCGAATTTCGTAAGAATGTAAGTGGGCTGGTTTTGCAGGGTGACTTCACCAGAGCGTCTCCAAGTGTTTCGTGGTCACAAGCGAGGAGTAACAAGCTTTGCTATGAAAGGCTGCGATATTCTGTCAGCTGCAGGCAACAAGATTGGGTTGTCGTCCTTATCACAGCAGGTGAGCATTTTTATGGTTATCTTTGGTTCGTTATATCTGAAGTAATATGGTTAAAATTTGCGTGGTTTATCACCCATGTAATTGCAGTACAGTCGTAACTCGATAGCTGTGGTTTTGAGGCATATGTCTTGCTGGTCAGCCTTCTCTGCGTTAATAAATAATCTACTCAGTCGGGAAATTTGAGAAGTTTAGTTAGATACTCTGCGAGAGAATAACTCATGATCTGACTAAAATATTGGGTCTGCAGGGCGGAGAGAAACAAACTATACAGCTTCAAAAACTTTTTGCATCTGACCCAGTAAACCGTCTCATATCCAACATCTCTGCCATCGCGGTTCTGCCTTTTTCGAGATTATTTTTAATCGGTACTGACGACGGCTGTCTCAAAATCTGTACATAAGAGCTTCAGTATTCCTTGTAAATTGGATTATTAGTTTCCGGATAATGCAATACTTTCCACGTCTACTGCGCATTGCAGTCTGGAAATTTTCAACCTCGTCTTCACTTCTCACGACGATGGTGTCAGTTGTGAGAAGAAAATTATGACCAATTTAAACGTGTTGATGGTTCTTGGTTTGTTATGCGATTCTCACACTGCGGCATATCAGAGAGTAAGGAAAAAGTATCTCATACGAGAACCAGCGTCGAAGAACCTGGGGTGATGTTGTAGGAGGTCATAGAGAGTTATCAACTTCAAAAAGTACTCTGCGTCAAGATACAGCTGAAGTGTAAAAGCAGCTGAAGTGTAATAGCAATGTGTTCTAGTCGTCTGACAACATGAATCCAAAGATCACATCTGTAAGTAGAAAGTAGTTCTAGGTTATGGTCGAGGAAACTCGTACATGTTGGATTGGCGGGGAGGATGATGACCCGGCTAGAAGAAACGTAGACATTAAGATGCAGGTGATTATTTTGTCACAAAATGAATAAAAAACGTTAGCATGCACCCCATGAGTGTGAAATGCAGGCGCCGTCTCGTCATGTTCTAGACTCTCCCTGATTTTTAACACTTGGGCCAGTGGAGCATTTTTTCGGACTGACCGTCCTGTATGGATCAAAGTGGCCTAAAGCGGTTACTGCCAATTTAGTTTGGTGGGTTGTACCATCAATTGCATGATACGAAACGCATGAATTTATTATGTGACGATACCAAGTTTGTTCATGACATTCTTTCTAGTCTATAGGATGCTTCACGGGAATGACACCGTAGCATCTCCAATGTGCTGCTCTGTGAAGGGGATGGATGCAAAAGTCAAATGAAGCTGGTCAGTTTGATCGGTTTCGCAATGGAGGAGCCGTAAGGGAAGAGTGTACCTTGTGAAGCAGCCATATGCATCGCAGCCATAAATTGAGCAGTCTGTGCTGACGTGACTAGAACTCGCTGTCACACCTACTGCTGCCAAAGTCATCCTCCAGGTTACCAGACTTGGAAATCTTCGGAGCTCATAAATAAATCTTCTGTAGATAAAATAGAATGTGATAATCCACTTTCATACCAACTGCAATACACCCAAGGTCTTGAAGTCTGTGAGTAATTTTTCCAGCCCCAAAGGAGTTTCATGGCAAGTTAATAACACCTGCACCGATCGCCGTAGTCATGCCGAAGGTTCGATAGGGGGTATAAGGAGCAGTTAGGACCGCACCAAATGGAAGGGTCCGCCTGTACACCGAAGTCTTCAGAACCGTGCGAACGGAGAGGAGGGGTGCGAGGCGAGCCCCCGGTACTAAAATTTCAGCACACCGTATAATTTCAACACGGGCCACAAATGATCGGGATCTGCGCTCCAATTAAAGCGTCCTCATCCTTGCCTGCACGCCACGTAGTACGCTGGCCCCCATACATCCTCCTTTCAGGTGCAGAGCGTGCGTGCGTCGCACAGTCTGGGCGCCTCCGCACCATTTTCCCGCGCGCTTTGCCACAGACAGCGCGGCGCGCCATTACCGGCGTGCGCCCGTCCGTCCCGTCCCGTCCGGGACGGACGGAAGGAGCGAAAGAACGAAGGGACGGATTCCGGGGGAAGAGGAGGGGATGGACGATAGCAGATGCAAGGAAAGGAGGAGGGGGAGGGAGGGGCCGATTGTTGTGCTGTGTTCGTGTCCGTGTCTGTCTGTCTGTCTGTCTGGCTCTGTGTGTGTAGCTTAGGGTCTCCACTCCCGAGAGGGCAATCACAGCTTCGACACCACCCTCGCTCGGAGCGAGGAGAAGCAGTACAGAGCAGGAAGAGGAGGAGGAGGAGGAGGAAGAAGAAGAAGAAGAGAGGAGGGAGAGGAGGTCGAGCTCGGCTCCGGAGCTCTTGCTGCGTACGTATGCCTCTCGATTGAGGCGCTGCCGGGGGCTAATCGAAGCACCGCTGCACAGGACCTTGCAGGCACGGAATGGATGAGCTTTGATTCGAAAATTACTCGAGTTTTAGGTGTTTCGAAGCCCTCGCATATCCTTGGTAGCTGGTGCGGGGTCGAGCCGAGCAGGGCCTCGCGTGACAGGTCCAACCGATATCGAGCTCTCTTGGGATTTTGAAACTCGAAGAAGTTCGTTCGGGGCAGTCTTTGTGCTGTTTTAGTTTGTTACTTGCGCCTTCGAGCCTGCCTTCTTCCGGGTCTTCGTCGAAAACGTCATCTTTGCCTCCGCGGCAGGGGTTTGTGAACTCCTTCTGTCTTCACACTACATCTTAATGTGTATGAATGACATACGATGGCCAAGCTTCTCGCAGTGAGAAGCGATCCCAATATTCGACCCCCCTAGTGTCGGCTCACACGTGAATCATGGGCTCCTCAACTGCCAACTGCGCCATTCGGATGCGTAGAATCAGTACATTGTAACCGGTGATGATCTGGAATGAAACAAAGCCGCGCAGTTGTCGATGGACTTCCTACTTTTGAGCGTGGACTGAAGGCGGCAGTCAATTGGAATAGGTGTTGACTACTCTCTCGCGAACACTTATTGGTCCAAAGGGTTTCTTGCTTTAATTTCTGTCATCACCTCTGAGCGGATTGGGCACCTTCCTTCGGTGCAAATTTATTCATCCAAGGGACAGGTCAAGCAGTGGATGAGGATTTGCAAGGCGTGAAATAAAAAACATGAGTGCTGAGACAACCTCAGCAGCATCTCTGGAGCCACCATGGCTCCACGTTCGAAGAGAACCGTTCGAGTATGGCCTCCTCCCACTTCCTAGTCTGATAATCAACGAAGGTGTGTATGCGTTCAGGAATTTGCGAACGAAGCTTTTGGAACACGTCTTGCCTACACCATCCTGGCCAGTGAGTAATGCCGCGACTGTTAACGTTGGATCTCATGGCAAATTCGGCAAGAAACGTGTGGCTTCAGCAGGTATTGCAGCAAGTCTAGGTCTGCAGGAAGCCCATGCACATCTAGTGCTTGACACTTTAGCATCTGTATTACCCGATGAAGGCGGGGACATTGATCCACTCGCTCGTTCTTCCGTCCCTGATATCGAGTCAGTTGGTGCCGATATTGATGATGTTGTACTTCTACTCTATATTCAAACTTACAAGAGAGTTCCTCCGCGTGCACACAAAGATGCCGCAGCTGTGGCCGATGTGTGGCCCACTCCCTCCGTTTTTGATGGTTTTCTAAACGCAACTTCCCCACTGCAGGTGAGACCTTCTCATGATGATCAGCTGTTTTCAGTTTCCGCAACGGAAAGAATTACCCTCCAACTCGCTTACGGAGTTTCATACTTTTTGGAGCATTTTTAGTTTGAAAGAAGCTAATGACTTGACCGAATTTCTTGATCACAATGACAGCGCTTTTGCCATCATTTTGCATTCCTCATACTGCGAGATACTTTGGGAACTCATGGCTCGTTGGGATCATCTCTTGCCCGCTTGATTAATTGACGCTTTTTTCTCCGTCGCCGGGGTTTGTTGTTATCTTAGGAGTGCACATTACCACAAATCTTACTACTGATAATTCGAATCTGTAGAGATTAGGGCATTTTTCAAAATCTATGTTCATTTTACGAGTTAGAGAAAGCTGAATTTGTAGGTTATTGTGATCTTTGAACGTCACGATCCTACAGAATAGAACTGACTGCAATTTGTTGTTATTGCAGACACGATGCCCGCGAAGAACTTTGCCGTGTCAAGCCGAGGAAGAGGCTCATCAGTTGGCATTTGTTAGGAAGCACTTGCCTTCTTTACTCGCTCTTCTGGCAGAATCCACCGAGGACGGAGACCAAGATGCAAAGGTAGAGAGCATGGACAATTCGTTAAGATTAATACTGACACTTGGGTGGTGATAGGCGATCATCATACTTTTTTCCTGAACAGAAGAAGTCTTATGACTGGGTTCTGGTACATGAACTGTTGTGTTATGTATGGTTGTTTTGTTAGTATGTTCATTTTCCATGTCTCTTTTAGTAGAATAACAAGGATACGTTGCGAATAATATGTTTTCGGGGAATGGCAAAACACTTTTTATCTTTTTTTTATACTACGTGAGTGGAAGTTGATTACTTTTGTCAGTTGATGGAGGTATGAGTGGAGTACGAAAGCTCACCTGCATATAGTCTGGTCATGAACACGGGAAGTACGTGAGGATATACCCATTGTCCTGAAGAGTGCTGTGTTGGTTATCAAGCCAGGAGTTCTCATTTGAAGGATCACTGGAGGCCATGTCAATTGTGATTGTGTCGTGGTCTGATATGAACTCTTCACCTTTTGAAAGATTTGTGTATATCTCATGCGAACACGTGACATTGTTAATCAACTCAGCACACAACCCACCTGAATGTAGCTGCTCAATCCTCGTGTGTTGATGATGGAGAAACAACTGAATGGCATGCTAGGGTTTGAGCGTCATTCTAAGGTACTTGTTTTGGTTTGAGTGGTATCGCAGGTCATCACTCTCGAGAAATTTCAACATCTTGCATTGCTTCTTCGAGCCGGAGATGCTAGCACAGACTTGTTACCACTCAGTCAAGCCACACCGTTCTTCGCGAACTCTGACCCAGACATGCCTGCCGCCCCTGTGCCCCTAGCCCAAGTACTTGATTGGATGCTTTTACATCTGTGTGCTGCTTCTGAGCGTACTCCTGGTAAGGCTCACATTAAGGACAATGGCATACACGATAGTGGCGGTTCAGAGGCGGATGTACCTATGCAAGACGCCTGTGTCAGTGGGGCAGCAAGTTCTCCCTCTGGAGGTGCTACCGTGTCAAATGGTCTTACACAGATGCGGAGAGATTGGAGGCCGGAGGGTGTAACTTATGTCGATGGCGTGACGAGAGCGTCAGTGCTCAAAACTGAGGCTGATCTAAAGAGCGGCTTAGTCAAGGTTTGATCTCTTAACTGTCAACTCTGGTGAAAACTTATCTGTGCTCAATGTAGGTCAAGCCTAATGAGAAAAGAATCAGGTGAGTCAAATGCTCAATCATGCTATCAGATGATATGTGTATGCTATAGCATTGAATCCATTGCAGTGCACTGCTGAAGATTTTTACTATGTGTGTCAGGTTGCAAACTGTCATGATTCGGTGGTTTACGTCTTGGGGCCGCTGAAGTACGTCTCGGTTTTTGGATGCTCAGACTCCATTGTAGTACTTGGGGCCGTTGGAAAGGTACAACACTCATTTAAACACTGGGTTTTCCCGCGTCAGCTCTCCATTGCCGTATTAGTAATACCTACATATTTGTCAAACATACTTTCGTAACTTGTATAGCTTCTGGTGACGTAGATTTTTAGCCGAGGACATTGTGTTAAGTGATGACGAGAGCTTTTTCATCAGCTGTGCGAAAGTGAAGATGTCTGAAAATGAACTTGTTAGGCTAGCCTAATTCCCAGGAATTCCTAATTTTCAAGTGTTTAAAGTTCTCTCACGTCCTATAATGTGTTCGTGACAGGCCGTAAGAGTGGAGCTTTGTGAGAGAGTACAGCTTATCGTTGCAAGTGCGCGAATTTGCATTGCGAACTGTCGAGAATGTTTGTTCAACTTAGGGGTGAACCAGCGTCCCCTTGTTATTGGTGACAACCACAATCTCCAGGTACATTTATGTCTTCTGACCAACCAGTCTTTCTCGCAGAATTCTGTGAACCTTTATTATCTCGTACGTTATCTAGTCTTCAAATTACCTACCTGGACTATATTGATCCACTCGTTGATACTCGTTGATCCACTGATTTTATTCTTTATTACGCTGCTTACTGTGATGTAAGTCTCATATTTCAAACCTTCGATTTTCGGAGGTTGTCAAAGATATTTCTGCTCTTTTCGAGTATCGTTCAGTCGTTGGCATCAACTCAGCAGGTCTTGTGCTTTGAATAACTTCTCGTTTATTCTTTTCCTTAAAACATGTTGTCGATAGGCGTTCGTGAGTGCTAAGCACACAAAAATATTTTCAAATTTTTGTGTGCTTAGCGTTCGTTGAGACGTCTTGTCTGGTGGCAGCTTCTGAATTCTTCTCTTTTACATGTCGCGGAACAGGTTGCTCCTTACAATACTTTCTACCCCAAGCTCGAGGCAGATCTGGCACAAGTCGGAGTTGATGCGACAGTGAACAGTTGGGATCGACTTCTCACTTTAGGACTCATAGATCCACACGACTCCATATCTCATCCTGCCGGAGTTGCCGATGCACAAGCTGAAGGGCCCGTACTTCTTCAACCCGAGCGGTTCACGAATTTTGCGGTGTGCATATTCTTCACTTGTCCTTGTTTTGAAGTTCTAGCAGACTTTCTGCTTGTTACAAGTTTTCTGTCGTTATAAGTTCTCAGGACGAGGAGATGAAGAGCCATTTTGAACTAGAATAGGCGCTTTGATGCAGTGTATCTGAAACCTTTCCTTTCAATGAGGTTTTTGAGTGACGTGGGCCCTAAGTGTGACGTCCGTATTTGAATTTTTCGAGCGTTGTGATTGATACGGCAGCTGATTCATGATTGGACTTCCGTAGTATCTCAAAGCGAGTTTTTTTAACGACAGTACCAGTCAAATTTATCGTCAAATGCTGCGAAGGTAGCCTTGGATACCGTCATCTATATCATCATCTTCTATTTGCAGATTCCAAAGTGGGGTGAAGCCGAGCCGCAGCAGCAGCAGCAGCATCTCCAAACCAGGGCCAATCCATTTCTACTGCCGAAGCCCTTCTTGCTAGCACAGCAACACAGGGTAATGGTCATATTTTTTTCCAAGGATCTAATATGGACTTCAAATCGAAAATATCACTTGCGATGTAGAACAATCGTTTGCTGTGGGTTGTATTGAAATAATAGCGGTGGGTTGCTTCGTGATTCCTGTTCTAATTGGTTTAGGGTGAAAGTCCACTTTGGGCGATCCATAAAATTTGACCGATTTATATCTCAAAAGGATTTGTTTATTGCAATTGCTTTACCAATGCCTTGGTGCCTATCCAGTTTCTTTTCAGAGTAGTGTATAATGCTTATTTACCACTTGGATTACTAACGAGATGGAATGCTGCAGCTTCACTCTAACTTGTGTTTGTGGGCGTTCTGATTGCTGCAGAGCAAGGCCGTCGAGAATTTGAAGCAGACACTCAAGAGTGTTGCATTGGAAGAGAACCGAAAACGCGATCTCACCACCGCGATTCACGCTTACTTCAAGGAGTGGCTATATTGTAAGAGATTTCGCAGCTCATGGATATATCATGATCCCTCTGGCACATCTGTAGTCGTCCTGTAACCTTTTCACTAGAATTCCTGCATTATTTTACTTTCGCCACTCCCTGGTCTATATGTACTAATATTTTGACCTATTTTGAATTGTTGGGTGATTGTGCAGCAACTGGCAACATCCGCCAAATTTATGACTTGCAAGGTCATGAGAGGGACCCAAAAGCTATGGACTGATTTGTTGCAAGCCATTCATTGTCTTCCAATCAGAGCAACCTGACCACTTTTGCATTGTGTATGATCTCTCAATTCATCTGTGGGTATTGATTGCAACACAAACGTAATGTGAAAGTCCTGGTTGCCATGTTTCTTTTTTCTTTTTTCTTTAATGTTTCCTTTGGTTAGACTCAAGGCAGGTCATTCGGGTTGGCACATGTCATAGGGCTTTAAAGGTCTCTGCACGTGGGCAGTAAGTGCTAGCAAAGCAATGGACCTAGCACATAGAGGACCGGGTACTGGTCGGTGCCCAATGGTTGGAAGGGGAAGTTGGGAAGGAGCAAGTGCCCAACGTCGGGAGGGTGGGTGGGGGATCGCCTTGTGGGTTAGGGGGGTGGGGGTGTGTGTTCATTCGTCCGACGTCTTGATATGTAGACCAAGCACAGATGTAGTTGAATTCTTCCCTGTCACACGAACTGGAAGCTGATAAGGTGATATCGTGGTGCAAATTTCTCTCAACTTGTTGCAAATGGTAGATATTAGTTCAAGCTGTGTATCATTCCGTCTCGAATAATATTCAATGCTTGTATCAAACTTCAAATCATTCACACCAATGTCGTATATAACCGGGTCAAAAACGTTGCTACAAGCTTTGTTAGCTCCATAGTCCCTCTCTTTATCATCAGCACTGACTGGACACTTACGTCCTGTGATGCAAAGGTATCGAACATGGTGTTGCACATCATGTCGATGACGTATGTGTCCGCTTGTGGGTAACGTGTTTACCATTGATTGATTTTGAATGCTGTTCCTGTGCACTAGTTTAATTGTCTCCGGCCGTAACCTTTTCTAGGATTGGTGGCGTTGAGCAAGATGTCATCAGGTTCAGATCGAAGGCAGAAAATGTCGTAAAGCATCGGCGAAGTAGTTTACACAGTACCTTAGTAATACGTCATCTTTTAAGTAGGTTGGCCTTGGTCGTGGGGAAAGAATCGAGGTAAGGATACACACAGAGTCCCAGAGGCTGACACGTCCCACATGGTGTTTTTGCAGTCAACATCCGAAGCCTTCAGAGTAAAGGCCATTCATTTTTTAAAACCCGATGCCAAGAAGGCAATACACCATTTTTTGGATTTGGCTTGTCACTGTCGACGTCTTGTGGATAGGATCTGCTTGGCTGTAGGGTGCTAACTTCTGCTCGAGTTATGCTCTGATTCGAAGATCAAAACGTGATGGGTGCCTCACCTTGGACGTCATATAGCAATTCCATGTCTGAAACTGGGTAGGCAGCGTAGAGAAATCCGGCAGCAAGTCCTACTTCTACCTTCGCACTGGAATAGACAAAAGCAAACCGCACATCTTCTCGGTGTCTCTGTCAAGTACAAGGAGCAAAATACCGTTTATTAGACCACTGGTCCAGCGGGACTTGGAATAAGTAAATAACATCGCAGCGCTAGAGCGTATACGCAGTGGTTTTTACGTCACTGGGAAAGTATCCGCGTAGGGTAATGTGTATGTACAGAAATTTACTTTGAGCACCTAATGATATGTCACTGGCAGTAGTCGAACAATGTAATGCTTGCCTTCACGGAACTATGAAGCCGTTAAGAAATTCTTTCGTGCATCCTACATGATTACTTGTTCTCAATTAGATGGTTTAATAAATTGTATCTTTCAGCTAATGAGGTTAAATAGCCACGAAGTATTTTGCTTAACTTTCCAATTTTCGCATTTTTTCCAATTCTCGTGAATGATGAGACCATGTGAGATGAGAAATACTCAACTTTTTTTGGAAGTAAGATGTTCAAATCAGAGTCAACGGAGGTCCCTATCGACAATTGTTAATTTGATTTTTGACTACTGGAATATACCTTCCTTGAGTACTATAATGTGGGTTGTCATCCCACGTTTGATACTACATGTAGCAAGAACACAACATGAAGTGAAAAACATTAAATTGCAATATATTCATAATCTCCTACATTTGAATTTATATCAATATGTTTATGCGGATTTGAGGATTCTTGTAAAGTTTTCTGGATAAAGAGACGAAAGTATATGTTTATTGTAAGTATGTATCTAACAATTATACACATTCCACTTTCAAGTACTAGTAATAAACAACAGTGATGCGTTATCAAACTGAACGAGCAAGAGCTATGTAACAATTAGGATACACCATAAAATTGAAGATATGCGTCATTTTCACACGAGGATCACACAGATACGCTAAATGCGGATGTCACACAGTTTAATTTACATTTGTGAACTTCCAAACTTATGCATATCAACTGCAACTAATAAGAATTTAATAACAATGCAATAAATAACATGAATTTATACATGTTAATCATTCTAAAATGAGATCCAGATGTTCTCAAATATTATGCGTAATCTACTTGTAAATTAATTATAATTTTCATGAAAGTATAATAGACATAGTTTTTGGTACATGTTGTATGTTCGTTGAGTGTTGTGATCGTTGACTTTCATTAGAAATCATATAATATTCATCTCAAATTAATTCTCTAAGAAATATTTCAGTTAATGTTATCATTTATAAGAAAATAATTTAGATTGTCATTTTAGGAAAATGACAATGTATAGAAGCAACTATGCTGGGAAGATATAGTATCGGCATTTCGTCGACGTGATGGGTGCATCTGATGATATAGTTTGTCAATGATATTAGTCATTGTTATATTTCATACATTTTGTTGAATGTACAATGTAAGATATTTGTTTAAATTGAAAACTTTTTTTGCAGTTAGTGTATATTTTGCTTCTCCTTCTTTTCACAATGTTAGGTTTTTATATGCACTTTTAAGAGTAGATATTGTACAAGTTACAATCAAGGAATTGGAATATAGTAATTCAAAGTGTTTATAAAATTATTTTTCACTTCTTTTCTTTTTCCTCTTAACAGTAATCATTTTTCGTTATTTTAGATATGTATTTTTCGTTCAGGAATTGCAGATTGAATGTATTTTTTTTTTCATTATACTCTTTCTTTGATGTTTATTTTCATTGTATAGTTTTTTACACAGCTGTTTACTTTCATTCTTACAGATCATTTACAAGAGATTTGGTCTTCCACTTTCATATCATATTGTATTCTTTATCCGTTCATCGAGGAGTAAGGATCGCTCTAACAAACAACTTTGAGATAATAAAACACGTTTACACGACATTCACCAAAGAGCTCGGAGACAGTGTTTGAGGAATTGTCGACAGATAACGCGCAGTTTATACCACAATATACAACAGATGATCGAGAACATTCGGCGCTGAGGGACACAGGCCATCTTGGAGCCAAAATGGAAGCTCCGAGCAAGATATTCCTAATCGTGACAGCCAGATGGAGACACTTCAACCATCGGCTTTCCTAGCCTTGAATTTGGGACACCAATCACCAAACAACCTTGACCGGACCACTGGCAGGATAATCAAGATCATCAGGCAACAAAGATTGAAGCGAAACCTACTGAATTACCGACTTAAAGTACACACGGCCTGAGCACAACACACACTGTTGCTTCTGTGAAAAAAGGACTCATTTGCCAGAAAGTGATTGCTACAAAGTCTTTACACATGGGACAGCTTCCAGAGGCCGAAAGAGAAGATTTATCGGGGAGAGACGGTGATGTTTGAGGCGTCCTCGATGAGCTTTCCGGTCCTGAGCTCGCTCAACGCAGCAACGGGCCATGTCAGTCCCTTCCACAAAAGGCTGGTGGCGAGGGGCACGTCGATGATGATTTCCTTCTCAGTGGGCTTCTTCTCACCCCTGATGGCGATCAAGTAGCTCCTTCCAACCCATCCGATCCATCCTGCAATGTACAAGAAGACGACTCCGGGGTACACGAACTCTCCCAAATGAGCCTGGTCTCCGTCCACGATCAAATGTGGCAGACCGTCAGTACCGCACAGAAGACCCTCGTTTCCGTAGAAGGCGAACCTCCTCTTGGTCTTCTCGACGGTGGCCTTGATGGCCAAGGCGGGGGCGCTGTCAGCTCCGTACAACTTCAACCTCTTCTCCAAGGCCTTGATCTCGTTCTTCTCCCTCTTGGCGAAGGCCTTCGACTCCTTGCACGGGGTCAATCCTGCGACATCGGCCATGGCATCCTCGGGGGCGACGAAAGAGGCGGTTCCGACGACAGCGGCGAGGGCGAGAGCGGTGGCGATCTTTCCTGCGGTCTCACCTACGGTCTGTTCCTTCTCGGCAGAAGCAGAGCACACGGTCCTGGCCCTGACATTCTTCACGAACGCGGACACCTTGGTCGAGGCAGCGAAGGTGCTCTTGGACGACACATTCAGTGGCGCCACGAGCCCTGCGGGGGAGATTGCAGCCATCGAGACGGTCGCCATGGAAGCAGCTGGGCTGTCGTCCCTACGAACAAATGTTCAGACAATGGTGATGGCCACGAGGAGGAAGAATGCGGAAGAGCAGAGCGCTATCGGCGATGATCAATATCCTCCGCTGGTCGATTCGAGGCCCAAGAGTGACCGACTTTTCTTCACCTCTTCCTCGCCCGCCCCAGCTATGGAGGAATCCAAATGCTCAAGATAGCGTCATGCTCGTGTCCACGGGGCGAGCGGATCGGGCGTCACAGGCCCTCGGATGGGAGATCGGACGGCGAGCGACGGGGTTCCATCATCCGAGAGATGAGAGGCGAGAGAAAAGGAGATATTGGTGGGATTGCGATAGAAGAGCGAGAGCCAATGACAGCGGCCCTGGTCGACGGGCCCGCTTCCGGTGAGGCGACCGGAGTCTCATCGAGTTTGGCGTGCAAGACGTCCACCGGTGCCTCCGCGCGACCGGCAACGGGTCGGTCGACCGGATAGGGTTCTGATCCACCTGATCTTTGGGGGCTTTTCTCATGGGTCCGTTTCGTGCTCCAGTGGCCTGTGCTGCCTTCGAACCCGGCCCCGGACAAAATCTTCCTGGCCCAAGCAGCCAAATCTTCCCCGTCCGATTTCTCTTGGACTCACACGTCCTCTGAAGTCCATCATTCCTTGCTACTACACAGAAAAAATCATCGACGTCAGTGGCTCTCGCCAAATGTATTCATGTCTTGTGTTTTGCGGATAAAACGAGATACCGCACTTGTATTATATTATTTCATATACGGATTAATTTAAAGAAAATAATTTTCCTAAATGAATAATGGTCTGTGTTGTACAAAAGATAACAATCCTGTTGGATGATGATGATGCATGCATCGTAAGTGTGTTGTTTATTTGTATATTTTTTAAATTTAGATAGATGAAATCTTATAAATCATTTATGAAATATGGTTCATCATGATACTATCATGTCATAGAGATGTTAGTTTTTCGACTTGACAAGGTTCTTCCATACATTTTATAATCACTTGGCCTCCTTAATTCAAGAACTTGTCCCACGATTTTCTTATTGCTAAACCCATTTAACGAATTTATGTTACATTGTATCTTACCGACATGTTGGAGTATAGATTGTAGCCCATACGCTTTAGTGCTGAGAATTTTAGGAAAAGTAAACACTCTTTATAAGGTGGTAGGCTCTTGTGATTCATATCAGAGAAATGGGTAAGCGACTTGTCTTCAGTTTTCGTTACCCTTTTTGCTATTAATGTCAAACTGGACAGCATTAATATTTGCTGTCCAGTTTGACAATATCAAACGTGGTTGTTCGAATCTGTTGAGGTGATTCCCCATGCACTAAGATTCATTTCTGTTTTGAAAGGGTAGCAAACGAACAAAGTTTGCAGTTGAGGACTTAAATTGTACCAAATGAGCTTGAGTGGATGAGATTTACTTTTAAAAAATTTTACCAACTGTTAGGCTTCTGTCTATTCATTTTGGGAAATCAACTGAACGAATTTTTTTTTTCCAAAATCTTTATCTCAAAATTCTTGATAAATCTATGAGCTATTATTTCTCATCATATTTGGTAAAGATGAATTCATAAACGTGATTTCTTATTTGGTACTTGATATTCTTGGGGATAATTAGACGTGTTCATAAATTTTTTTAAAATTTGAAATAAAAAACATGTTGTTACATTTGAGAGCATGCACTAGTAACGATGTGCTTGTGGTCCATCATTTGCGTCTTTCCTTATCGAAAAATATTTGAACTTCCAGGCTTGTATAAATTTCTAACGAAGAACTGAACAAGAGTCACGAATATGGATAGGGGTTGTGCTCCAGCGAATGTATTCCAAATTGAGTGCGTGTCTGAACCCCGATCGAGTCTGTTCATTTCCGCTACTTTAAACTCTGGGGATAAATGCGTGGGTATATGATCCACTGCATGCCCGGCCAATACCCAAGAGCGTGTGTTGCGCACAAGCTTCGGGCTCGTTCAGAGTTACAAGTCTGATTCTTGTGAGCAGCACGCGCTCTTTTCAGAATGTTACAAAGGAGCGGCGCATCTGTTCAGGGTCCCTAAAGTAGTAACGTCGGTTTCACACTATCCGAATTTGTTGCACAAATAGGTTTATCGCAGTTTCTGATGTCCTTTTAGTCGCGTGTGTCATGCACAAGCCATTAGCTTGTGCTCAACACACACACAAAGGTAACTCTTAAGGTCTGTGAGGTTTTGTTCTTATTCACTTATTCCGGATACGGTGATGATTAGGAAAAAAGTGCCAACCACGACTCGCATTAATCATATAAAAAAGATCCATGATACTAATTCCTGATTTGGTTTGTTCCACGGATAATGCTGTACACATGATAATAATCTGACACGAAATCCAAAACTCAAATTGTTTGTATATCGTGTGATCAATACAATTATCAGTTACAGTATTGTACTTATGTACAATGCTGTAACTGTTAAAATTCATAATTTTCATCGTACCAATATTGAAACTATTTCTGAATTTATTTATTGTATCTATCTATGATTTTCATGTTGTTTGGCCCAACTTTCTAAATAATGACAGAATCAGTTAAAGTAGAATTTATTTTAGTCCCTTCAGTGTTGGAGAAAATCATCTATGATCTAACCTTCTAACTTTTGTAGTGCACCTAATAAACATGACACTACTTCCCTATGACTTCAAGCATTTTTTCTCATTCATCTACATTTTACATTATTTGTACTCTAGTTATTTTCAGCACAAGTAGTACTAGCACTTCAGGTCAAAAAATATGCCAGACATGGAATCAATAAAGGGTGAAATTGATAATACACCACACTGTTGAGTGATTCATCTAGGCATGACAACATTGCCAACTTGGCACATGAAGGTTGTATTCTTTAAATATTATTAAAGACATCACAGGAAAAACATCATTGAAACAAACAGAACATAAATTTTTTACAATCACAACATTTATATAATGAATATGTAAATTAAATTGAAATATTAAAATTTTCTATTCATTACTGCAACAAAAATTATCTGGAATTTAATTACTAGCAATAAGATGATATCATGATCTTTGAAATGCGTTGGCTATTATATTCTGATACTATTGCAACGTCAAACATGCCAAGATTACACATAATGATTTTCATTTTCACTCCATTTTTTTGATGCATATATGGATACATTGAAATAATACAAACTTATTTGACATGTGATTAGATGAAAATATATTGATATTGCATGTCTTGTAAGCTACTGATTGGAAAAATGTTTACTGGTTATAGAAAATCAATTTAGAAAAAATACTAGACGATTGTAAGCTATCAATACAAACAAGTATTTTTTCATAAATTTTTTACGTTTCAATAATTTTGTTGAACATCACCAATGTCAAATTGCAAAAAAATATACATAATTTTCATATGATTAAATTTCATAAAACATACACAATTTTCCATATCATGAATAAATATGGATTTAATAATGAATTTTCTTTGAAACATGATACACATATTCATGAAATCATGAAATTTTTTTTTAATTCATACAAAATTTTGATGATCTGCAAATTATATTAATTCTTTTCTTCACAAATTTCATATCTTTTGTCATACAGTTAAATTAATCCAATTTATCAAAAGAAAGCAGTGATAATATTTGCCTCTATAAAAATATGATTAATGAAAGTTATTTTAAAGTCCAATATGACTTATTTGATGATGAACATGGTAATTTAGATTTTTTGAAACATCTCAATATCATCTTCATGTTAAGAAAATAACTTGTTTGAAAAAAAAATCTTACTTACATCTAGATTTTTTGTTTATAAAAGAATATTCATCACATAGAATTAAAAATAATCAATCAAAAATGTGTTACATGCTAGCCAAATCATACCTTATATTAATTATATCATATAATTGATCTAATTAGAAGAAAAAAATTTATTACATTAACTACTGTTTTAAGAGTTTTGTTCAAATCTGGTGTGATAAACTTTGTTGATATAACATATTATTTTTTTGTTATAACAACAACAATTGGCAATGGATTATATGTTAACTTGTAAAATTTTTTTTAGCCCTACGTAACACAAACACATATCATTTAATCTGGCAGGATTTCACTAAGGGGATACTATTATCAAGTTCTAAAAAAAGTTCTTGTAATTAAATATTGTGACATATGAAAGCGAGACTTAGGTCCAATATCATGTAGCTCCCTCAAAATTCTGCTTCAGGGCCAATTGACAGAGTGAATTCCATTGTTTCACATTTTCAACTTGCGCTATGTTTTGGAAATCAAAACATGGCTTGCTACAGTACAGGATTGATCAAAGCAATGCTAAAAACTACTAATTTTTTTGCGGCAGTCACTCCGTGAATGGATTAATTCTGGACAGCAGTTGCTAGGATACAATTGCATGCTAGATGCTGTGCTCATTTGACCTCTAAACAAGATGCTGATTAATCTAATGATCTCATCAACTTCACAAGAGATAAGACATATGATATATAAGACAAAAACAAACAACACAGTTCTACCACAAAAGAAAACAAATGTGATTGTTTTGTCACATAATCATCCGAATGAAATAATTTACTTCCTCTTCGTCACGTTACATTTGGAGCATACAACTTTGCTGACTATACGGTAAAAGTCGTCAATGAGTGAGATTTTTTGATATGCCGCACAATTATATTATTTATAGATACTCCCTTGTGTCTTTCATAAGGCGCTGAAATGCATTCACTAGTTTTGTCTTGTGGTTTGTACTCGCAAATTGGTGAAATATTTGATTGATTTGAATCAGGAAGTTTATATATAAAGCTTGAAACTGTGCAGTACTTGAGTTGAGTATATGAAGATCCATACCAACAAGATATGTCGGAGTACAGGGTAAGATGAGGTGTAACTAGCTGTTTGTACACTAAACATCTCTTCATGTTAGAAGTCAATGTTGATCGATACTAGAACACAGGACATCTATGTTATTGTGTTATTGTTAGATGTCCTGTGTTATTGATGGAATCTCATCTTATAAAAGCATATATGATGGATATGAGTAACCTATTTAATGTTACGCATGAATCTCAATGAGTTATTTTCTCTTAAGAAGATGATGCCACTGTTTTTATGATACATTTTAGGCTTTTTTGTTCTTGTCTTATTGCAAATTACTCATTTTTCGACTTCATTCTCCACTTGGAAACTTCATATTTTGCAATGTAAAAGTTGTTAAATTTTTGATGTAGGTTCAATATCCACATAATTTTTAGATAAATAAAACAATTAAATGATAAAATTTTTAAAATACGACATAATATATGAAACTCGTTATTTCATTTTTTATATTTAAAAAAAATTCTGTATGACTTTGAATTTTAAATTTCCAAAATTTTGCCAAAATTGACTTTTGGCAATTTTTCAATTGCCAAAAGTAATTGAAAATATTGTTTTAACATAAAATATATAAAAAAGTTTAAAAAATTTAACAGTGATGTAAATATAATAAATTTTATTAACAAATCTGAATAGTTTCCTTTCTTTTGATGTTTTAGATATCATTCTTTTCTTAATTCATTATTAAATCTATAATCATGTGATTGTTTACGGAGAATGTTTCTGTTAGGCACATGTAAAATTAATGATACATTTTTTGTTCATATGATTTTATTCAATCATTATTTGAAATTATTCATTACACATATTTTATTGATGATGATATGTATATAACATATCAAATATATTTTATATACATAATCATCATATATATATATACATTTATGAATTTTCATCATATCTGTGATATAATTTACATTTGTCAACATTCTCACAACATTTTCAAACATTTTTATATTTAGAAATCTAATACTTTATGAAAACTAAATTGCTTGATGTTGGAAAAAATATTTTGAACAATATATATATAAAAGTCACAATTCATATCTTGTTTTCAATGAGTTGAAATGTAAAGGATGTATCCTTGGAATAATTGAACGTATATTTCATCAAGCAAACTATACTCATCTATTTTATTATTGTTTGTAATATTTATTTGAAACTATTGCTTTATTTGAAAACTATTGAAATTTATCGGTGTTAGTGTATTTTCAAGATTAATACAAAATCTTCTTACTTGTGTGTAATATCAATCTTGTAGTGTACACATCACTAAATGATTGTAAGGTTGCAATTTTTGCTAAATCTAATTAAAAGTCTTTTGAGAACTCATGACAATTGTGGGTTATCTTAGTATCTAGATTGCTATCATTGTTCCAAATGTTCATAGTACAAGGTATTTTAATAACTTCATGGCGCTAGCATGAAAGCATACACTACACTACATACTCTTACTGTCTCTTTAATGAGGAGAAAGTAAAGATACTCCAAGTAATTTCAAAGTTTAGTCTCACTATAAATAGTTAACTTAAACTAGATCATACTTTGGCTGATTGTTGCCATGATCAAAGCACTAAAACCTTTATTTCAAGTAGATCATTCAAATATGAAATGACTTATTCTTGAAAATTATCCTTATGATCTTCATCGCATGAGTGACATGCATAATCAGCACAAACTATATCAAAGATTTTAACCTCTTTTAATACACAAGGCACTTTGAGCATCCTATGACGTTATCTCTAAAGACTTATGGCGTCCCTAAGTTTGATTTGGGAGTCTAACTTCATGGAGTCTTCTTTCATTTTACTTATTATTGTCAGATTATACACTTAGCCGCAGGTTGTTTCATTTGGTGCTACAGTACCAGATAAAACTGCAATTTTCGCTTCGCTAGCATGAACGAATCTTGTGAATTCATGTAGCAAAGAGGTCAGAGCTTTTCTACTGTAATACAATATGCAAACAGCTTGATTGATATAACTGTGTTCGTAACAACATCAATACCCCTATTTTTTCGTGTATATGTATATTTCCCTCTTGTATATGAATTTTTCGACTTTTGAAACGGATACACCTTATAATATTATTCGGGAAATACGAAATAGACATTTTCAGAGGGAGAAATAATCAGTCTCAACACAATCATTTCCAGGAAAAACTGCTTTGAAATACTTTTGGACACTTTCTGTATGTTTTTCGTTCGGCGTTCATTTTTCACTACGTCATCACATATCAAACTATCAAAGCCAGACACATTGTAAACTCGAACAACCGTGATATTTTTTAGTTGATCATATAATCGGTGGAAACTGAAGGCACCATACTAATGTATCTTACTGTGGATGCTTTATTAATACAAGGGACCCTCAGGCTGCGAGATTACTGCTAAACATTGTTCCCCTTAAAAGGACATTCATCATTTACATATAAGAAGTCCGCTATCGTACATCTTGTTCGCTAATCACAGCAGGCACATTTACAGCTTCAAGTCTCGTTTTCTCTGCTCCAAAAGGGCGACTGAACCAAGAAACAAAACGCTTCAACGAGTTAGTCCTCACGTCTCAAAGTTAAGAGGCATGTACCGATCTGAAATGTCATCAACATGACAAATGAATGCAAGATTGCGATCTTTGATATGTTCTTGTTAAGATATACCCAGAATTCGGCAGAGAACGTTCGAACTAATTTGTTCTTATTTTTTCGAATGAAATTTCAGCGGCAGAAGTGCTAGCGACGTTTCAAATGAACTGAAAGTTTGGGCGTGGAGGTTTGCGATACTTTGAACTAAGAACAGTTAAAAGGATGGAACCGCATAGCAAGAGGAGTACCTTCAGCGTCTTCCAGTCGCCAACCCAGAACTCCAAGCTGTAATCTTGCCAATTCTGCTGATTTACACCTGTTTATTTGAATCGGCACAGTAAATTAGCTTGCTCCCATAATTCCCCTGGTTAGGTACAACAACTCCACGGGACATATCCTAAAAACATGGACTTACATTTATCATTAGTTCGTGGCAGGAACATGACAAAATAGAGTAGATGAAACTTCAGAAGGTTGTGAGTTGACATTGTACGTACCCTGGAATAGGTAATGCACCTTTACAAATTAGGTAATTCAGAGCCACCTGAAATTCAAGGAAATAATTAAATATGATGAACGGTTTTCTTCACTCAGCAATGACGACGTCTTCCTCCTTGTGAGATAAAAGGAAGAAAACTTGAAGTTTTCGTGGTAGATCAACTCATATGTAATACCTGAGTGATGGACTTCCCTCCATGATTTGCTCCTATCGTTTGCATCAATTTTAACAATGGTTGCACCTAGATAATACGACAATCTTATCAGAAAACCAGATTTGCAACAAATGGAACAGAGAAGGGAGCTGGAAAGGTGTTTTCCATGTCTGTCATCTCAAGTGAGTTTTTTCACAGATAGCATCTATCCTAATAGAAAGATATCCCACCTGAACGGATCTAGAATCAGTTCTGGTGAACGTCTTTTCAGACAGAACTCCCGAAGCTAACGGAGAATACGCAATTAGGGTGATGCACCGTTCCTGGTTCACATCCAGCAGGGGCATTAGATATTATTATTAGCAAACTCTCAAAATCATTTGCATCTGTGCACTAGGAAGTCAACAGAATTCCTCACACTTCTAGCCTTGAACAAATTGGTGATTGCAACTAGAAGGGATAACACAGGATCTTTCGTACCCGGCATACACGAAGTAGGCCATCTTCAATGGGTGTCTGACACAATAAACTACAAACACAGCGAAAGCTCAGTGAATTTACTTCCTGGCACACTCGTCAGTTCTGAAAGTAAAGCTTTAGAAGCGTATTCCTTCTATGTAAGATAGAGAGTGAAAGGAGTGACAAGCTCCATCAAGGTAGCCACTGTTTTCAAGCAAATGATGAAACAATGTGACAAAACATTTGTGCGTGTACCTGAACTGGACTTGGTTCGATGCAAGTGGTATATTATACTTCGCAAGTAAATCATCTGCCTCCTCCATCTGCCATGCCATGAGATTTTGGTTGCTTTCAAAGTCACTGACCATGGCTATTGTCAAGTCAAGAACTAAGAGAGAAACTAACTATTCGTAGTCGCAGTTCCATGATGGACGTAAGCTACAGGCGATTGTACCACAAGTCTGTTAACTGCGACCAAAAATTATGGAAATTTAAAAAATCGTCTGCTAGTAACGCGCAAGCTTCCCAACTGAGGAACTTGCATCTAGTTTTAACACCCACCTGATCCCTGGAGTAGTTTGAAACACCAACTGCTTTTGTTAAACCCATCTCTACGGCTTCTTTGAGGCTCTCCATCAAAGCCGAATTGCTGAAGGTAGGAAAGGGAAAATGAATCTGATCGAAATTGACACGAGTAATCAATCAAAAAGAGCTCAATCAACAATTACACAAAAAAGACTGGAAACCGAAGAGTCCATGGAGGGTGGAAATCTGTATTTAGGTTCTCGACTTTACTTGATACAGGTCAATTTGTTCTCTGCCCGTGCGTTTCAAACTTTCTTTCAAAGCTGCCAGTAGTGACTCACGACCGAGCCTAAACCCACCACCTGTTAACGGCAAAAACGTCAGAAAATTAGCTATTTTGCTGCTATATTCAAGTAATACTCAGTAAAATCAAGGAGAGGACAGTCCAAACGGAATCCATTAGCAAATCTGTAAAGCTCGGACAGTCTCAATTAAACGAGTTACAATAAAACGAGTTACAAGTTAAGGGCAAGCCCAATTCGTTGCAGAAAATTCTCTTGGATCTAACTATTCTCTCCATGGCAACGAGTAAAACATTCGCTGTAATCCTCGTATAAACAGGGCAAGCTGAATCGTCGAAGATTTACACAGCTCATATCGGTGGAAGTCAACTACTATCAATTATATCCTTACCCACAAGAAAATTGGTCCACGGAATTGTGAAAAATTTTGATGCTATGACTGGTGTCAAGGATGGAGATCCTGTATTTCCAGACGGCCGTCTTATAAACTTGCCCAACAACTGCTCCGAAGATGTCCCACTTTTGATTCCCTGGTAGCCATAGACCTGAAAAAGCAAGGTCCAATCGATAATGTCTTGAGTGCCAGGGATACTAACAGATGTGCATCCACACTCGCAGGCAACAGCCTAACGATCAATAATTTTTGTAGCGTTTCGAGGTTATCAAACCAGTACTTCGGCAGTATCAAAAAAGTTGACACCCCCTTGAACCAGCGTGTCAAATGCCTCGGCCAGGTCCTCTTCTCGATAAGACTTTCCATAACCACTGCCAGGATCACCCCATTGCAGAGTTCCTGTGCCGAGCTTTGAAATCTGGAGCGACGTTCTTCCCAAATTCATCAATTCTGGGTACAATGGACCATAAGGAAGACACAATTCGAATTAGAAAATGCGGCAAACTTCTGAATCCAATCATCCAACAGATCAATCGTTGACAAATATGAATGAATAACAATATTCAAAGCAATTAGCCAAATTTGGAGGAGAACCAGCCTTGTGGCACTCCACATTAGCTCCAGTTTACTTTCGCTGACCAGGTCATAGGAAGGCAAGAGGCCAGCAGATTATAGCATCTCTAACTGATGCGTTGAATAAGTCGAACATCAGACGAAGAATCGCCGACCGTATTTCAGACTAGACGCGTCACAATTCAGTGACACAGGACGAAATAAGTCGTCATCTCAAGACAAGATGTGTACCTGAAGAATGGTCTTGAGAAGTGCCGGTAACCAGGGTGGAGTTTACTCTGACTCCTCGCCGATAACTCGACATTCCAACCTTTGGCCATACTGACAGCTTGCGAGCAGAGTCGAATGACGTGAGAAACCAGTCAGACGATACGCCAGGTACAAAAGTACCGGCGCAATTAAGAGTCGTGCTCATACCGATCCTTCTTTCGATACAAGCAGCTCGAACCGTAAAGTCTAGGCCGAATTCGAATTCAATACACGGAATGTGCTATTTGTCCACTGCGCTCCGTCCCGAATGAGACGCTCCGTGCAGGATTTGCACAGTCCCGACTCCTTCACTCTTCCGGCCTGCACACTTGGCGCAACTTCGAGTGCAGGCGACGCTGCGCTCCAATGGGAGACGCCAGCTGGATGCGCATCTTCGGTGGCAACGTGTGGCAACCCGGTGCACTTTCTTATCCGTCTGCTCCCGCCGAGGCTTGCGCTGTGGGATGCACCATTCGTTTGATCCAAGCGGAGCCGCTGTCCTCAGGAGTGGCTCAGTTTTTCCACAGCCCCTATACCGCCCAGAAGCAAGTCTCTCTGATCTCTCGATGCTGTAGCGACGATGCCCACCGATTCGAGCCTCTGCGTGTCACAGAGTCTCTCGTTGGAATATTAATCGGTAAATTTTCTGCCATAGGTGCAATTGGTCGAAGCCTGGAGACCTTTAGGAGGAATATGTCCCCATCGTAAGCAGATGCGCACCTTTTAGTACCTTTTGACAATGGAAGGTGTAGCTGCTGGAAATCCCATCCAAATGTGCCAAAACTCGCTTTTTGTCACACATACTCAAGCAACTGTTATGGGACAGCTGGTGTCAGTCCCTACTACAAATTCAACCCAGTAACGTGGTGCGATGGGATGGCAAGTTTCTGGAGCTGGTCCCCTGTTTAATGTCTGGAGGAGCAGGTTGTCTGGGGAACCCTTACTGTCATTGGAGCCCTCATTGGCACGCTGGCGGTGGAGGCGATGTGGAGGTGAATTCATGATGTATGCAGGGGATCAGCTGCAATATCCTGTCTGGCAGCTCACCGTTTGTACAAAGAAAGCGTCCACCCCACTTTATTCACATTAAGCATAACAAGCTTTTGTAAGCTAATCTAACTCCTATCATGGGTTCATGCGATCTCATGGAGAAACTTGTTCGTTGTTTTACCCTGTCGCTCTGACAGCGTGCAGAGCACGTAGGCCACTGGACTGAAGAGCAAAGCTTTGCACACTTCGCATGTGAACTTGGTTCTCATCGGGCGACCGAAGCCATGTCAATTACTAACTTCAGAGTACACAGGAGTGTCAGCTACTGCTTATCGTGCTCACAGACCTTCGCCGGCCAATGAATAAGGAACTCAACCACGATTCTTGGTCTGGATTCATTGATTTGAGGGAAAAAGTGATCGGAACAAGCAACCTCAGGTTTCGGACTACCATAGTTTAGACCCAGCTTCTCCAGTCCAAGGATAAAAGCCACAGCGGTATTCATCCCGCACAGCCAATCTTTCCGTCGGGACCATGCCTGCAAATGCTGCAGTTTCAGAAAATCCACTCCTACTAATGTACAAATAATCCATTTTTGTCAGCAGAATCCAGTCCATGAACACTCTGGAATGCTCGGTGATGATACTTTGCGGATCCACGAAGTGTTGACGGATCAATGATTGCGACGGTTTGTCGATGTGAGAAATCGGACCATCCGTTGCCATCATAGAAATCCCTAAAAGCTTGAACCTCGCCCTGAAAAGCTCCAGAGCGCGTTGGGAATCGGTGCTCACGAATATGAGACATTCCTTGCTCTGACGATTCCCCTCCTCACACTTCAACTTCGCTTTCTCCACAAAACATCCGACAGCTGCCAAGGAATGGCGCGGACCCTCATGCCAAGCAGTGTCATTTCCTATCCGGAGCTGCACTCCAACTTTGACACGGTCACTGCTGGGACTCATGAGGTCCCTGTAAGGTTCCAGTGCCAACCCCATAAAACTTGTCATCTTGGTGAAGAAGAGCCTGGTGAATATGTAGAACATCTCGTCTTGACGGAGAAGATGAAGGTTATATCGCCTCGCTGTGGCACCCAGGAAAGGATTCTGAATCAATACATCCCAGTAGGCCATATTCGTATGAGAGATAATGCTGCTGTAACCATGCCAGAGCTTTGGTAAGTTCCATTCTCTCGTTCTCCTGATATCACGCACCATGCAGTGCCAATTCATGCACCACCACTCGAACATGGTCACATACTGTATTCCCATGAAAGATCGAGCAGTCCTTGCAGGAGACGAAAGGGAGGAATTCGATGCCATGAAATAATTGCCGACATCAGTGGGAAACGTCCAATGGTAGTAGAATCTAGAGTTCGTAAGAAGCGCAAGATAAAATGTTGAAGCCAGACCTTTCAACCTATCTCCCAATCCACCACACTCCTGGAACCTCGAACTGCAATCGAATATGATTGGTTTTGGTATGCATGCATGAGGTGTAGATGGGGAAGCACTGTTCGTAGACCTGATGTACAGCGCTTCAATCTCAGCTGCGAGAGAGTCCAGATCCTGCACATGAGATACTCTGTTGCTTCTATCGACTGGATGCTCCGCGATAGAATCATGTGAAAGAGAATAACGAAGAGTATCATGCAAGCATTGATCGTAGGACGAATTGCCTGGGCCATACCTGAACAGATAAGCATAAGAAGAGAGAGAAATGGCCAGCGTGGAGATTATAAAGTATTTCGAGACCGTGGCCACCTTGAGAACTAGGCCTGCGGTTTTTGTCATTCTTGTTGCAACGGATGCACTGCTCGTAACTTGTCAGCATCATTGCACAAGTCTACAAAAGTGCTGAGCGAAGTTTACTGCGGTTCTCTTCCACCGACAGAAGGTGACGCACCTAGGGTTTAAACCCCTTACGTCATCCATGCTGTAGTTCCGAACACAGCTTCGTACTGGTGCTTGCTCTGCGCATAAAAGTTCCAAGGTTTGCTCCAAACGCAAGATACCATCTTTGCATTAAAGGGTGCCAAAGACATATCTGTATATGCAAATGGTTTCATATATCTCAATATATATATATATATATATCCATTTCTCTAGGTTATTGTGAATTTTAATCAAGATTATTTGTTTCCACTTCTATACAGAGATCAGCTTTCAGTGAGAATATGTACCAGGAAATTTTCACATTGTTTAATAACATAAATTATTTAATTTATATGAAGCATATATTTCATCACAATATTATTGGGGTCTAGCCTCCAGGTTATTTTGTCAATGTCTTCTCTATTCTTCTTAACTTTCCTGAAATGCTCTACCTGCATTTTTTGAGTTTCTTTTAATATTCACTTCTTGGTACCCATTCTCAGGTTTTGACAATGGATACTTCACTATCAGTTTGATCTTTTGTATAATATGCTGCTCATAATGCTGTTTCATGTGCGCGTGAAACTGAAGTGTAAATGTTGATGTCAAACTTAATCAGCGCGAAAAAAAATTAGCTTTTGCTCAAACCTACAAAAATCTTGATCAATCATGTAGCTTGACTGTACCAAAAATGCAAAGATTCAGTTTGAGCACCCTAATCTACTGAGATGTATATATTTAGGGGAGGCTAGTTATACCTCACCTGGGGCTAATTAGCCCTCATCCTACTATAATTACGTCACTCATTGTTACGATTGGGCTATATGATCCGTGTGATAAAAAGTAAACTTCGCGAGTTCTAGTCTTTCTAATCGAAGACAAAGATGCCATGGTGTCCAAAGTCACGGAAGAAGCCTATCTGTCACCTCCACGTTCGAGTAGCCACGTCAAGGTTACTGGCAGCGAAAAAAAACTCATTGGTGCGAATTTTGATCAGCACAAGTGATGTTTAGACATTGGTGTTCGAGTAGCCACGTCAAGGTTCCTGGCAGCAAAAAAAGACTCATTGGTGAGAATTTTGATCAGCACAAGTGATGTTTAGACGTTGGTGTTCACTGCGAATGCATCGATGCCTTTGCTTTGAGCGAACTCGATTTCGCGCTTTCGCAAGATTGGTCAATACATCTCCAAGCACATTCTACAAATCTCGCACCCTTTTGATGTAGCTCGAAGCCTTGGATGTATGAAAAATATTAGACCTTCATACAGGACCGGGAGGTCAGTAAGGAGGTTTGTCTTAGTCATGATTCGAAAGAGCCTTGCGAGATTCCCCTATAGCTCTTGATGAATTATCTGTGATAAATCTTGCAGATATGCAGTGCATGTGCCAGTACTAAAGTAACATCGGACGTTCAAATATCCAATTCAAGATCAACCATCTTTCACATCTTCTGAAATCACTAAGGGCAAGAAAATGAAGTCCATGTTTGTTCTTGCAAATCTCTCGCTGGCACTGATGCTAGGACAGCGTGCATCAATGGCCACAACTCAGAAAATGATCTTTGCTCACTACTTGATTTAGGCACAGGATTCCATCGACACAAATAAGCGGAAACTCGAGCTCGCTCAAAGCAAGGGCATCAATGCATTCGCATTGAACACCAACGTCTAAACACCACTTATGCTTACCAAAAATTAACACCAATGAGCTCATTTTCGCTGCGAGGTATCTTGACATGGCTATTGGAACGCGGAGGTGGTGGATAGGCTTCTTTCGTGGCTTTTGACGTCGATTAGAGTGACTACAACTCGCAAAGTTTACTTTTTACCACACAGATCTTATAGCCCCATTGCACCAATTAGTGATGTCTGTATAGTATGGTGAGGGCTAATTAGCCCCAGGTGAGGGATAACTAGACGCCACCTTTCTTTATTGCTTTTGGATTGAACATATGTCTATGCTAACATACTTATACAATACCTACTCTAAAACAACATAAAATTGCTAATTTCATGATACAAGATTGCAAAAATATTACCTAATATTCCAAATTAATAATATTGTAGATAAAAAATAATGTTAATACATATTTTTTCAAAATTAATACATATATATATATATATAAGATCTAATCTATAAAAATTTTGTACATAAAATTCATCGCGATTGTATTCTTCTATTTCAAATACATTCAAGTTTTAGATTAATCTCAAAAACCTAAACACAAAGACTTACTTAACATTGAAGATACCAGAACAGATGAAAAATTATTAATTCTAATTTCATATTTATTTAGATGAAACATATTGCAGCTATGATTTGAACGCAATGGAAGCATGGCCACAAAAAAAAAGATATCTATTTTTCCAAAAAATCCTTTAAAAGCTATTTTTGGATAAAAATTTTGAAACAATTATGTGAAAATTTAAAATATCAATTTGTCTAAAAATTTTTATATCTTAAAAATATTTTATAAGATTAATGATTCATTAAATTTTATTTTAAAATTTCATATTTTTGTCATTTACAATTCAAATTTGGAAAAGTTTATTGTTACAATTCTGTATACTTAAAGTATAAATAGTGTTTTAATAATATAATACAATTCAACAGCTTTGGATTCTTACAAAACTTGTTATCCACTCTTTCAAAACCACCACAGAACTATTTTTTCCAACTTCCAATCATCTCTTCCATATGAAAAATCCATGCAATAAATGCAATCCTAGCATTAAACTCTTTCCTTTTGGATACTCGCATCTTTTAAACCTCTTTCTTCTCTTTCCTTCCATTTATAATTTGTGTTGTTTCAATTACTATTGCCTGAACATACTAGAAAGCAAGATTTCAAGTTGTATTCCAAATTTACAAATATATATGCAAAATTTGGTATTTGTTCTCCTCTAATCAATAATGTATAAATTTAGTACTGAAATGTATCTGACCAAATTCATATGCTATTCATATGATGGGAATTCATTGGAACCCAAGTTGCTTACTGAGACCCTTTAAGTTTTGTTTTACTTGATGGTTACCCACTTGATGGTAACACGTCATACATGTTCCAGTATCAACAGACGATGTAAGCAATGAAACTCTATCATAACGATCTATCTAGTGGAGTTATGTAGAAGAGATTGCACGCCTTGACGTTGGATATAGGGTGTCTTATCGTTAGAGGTAGTGCTCAAAATGTGGACAACAATTTGATCCTGATCCCTACTTTAACTCAAAACTACTTCACTAGTTTGGTTTGTTTTTTTGTCATTTAGTCTCTTGACGACTCCAATCAATGCAAAAAGGAGAATGCAGAGCATGTTGTTGCGTGTCGTGCATATCAGCTCGTCGTCACTATAAACGCCTGCTGCGCAATGTGATGCCGATGAAATTTGTGGGACAAGGAAGAATGGTAGTGCTGATGGTGAAGACGTAGGTTAGTTCGACGTCAAGCTATGTCGAAGCACTGAATTTCTCTCTAGCTGATTTAGAGTGAAATTCAATGCTGAAACAATGCACAAGAGATCCATCAAGCGAACCTTCAACGAGTAGTCCGGCTAAAAAACACGAGCTTGTTCTCTAGAGTGAATGCTTGTGTTTCCAGGCGACAAAGGAGAAATTTGAAGCAGATTCTTCTGAGCATTATGCTGAAGGAGGGAAACTAACTAGAGCGGAGGAAAAAGAATGGAGGCCGAGATGCAAGGATAGGAAGCGCTATATCAAAATTCACTAAAGCTTGTATCTTATGTGTATAGTAAAACATTTTAGAATTTTTGCAACGGTGTGTCGTCGGTGATTCCCTCAGACAAAAAGAAACTTGATGTATCCCATTAAGCAATTAAGGTTTTGATTTGATACCATCAAGTGAATACCTTGTCCAAAGTGCAATTGCTGTAAATTTGCATCTCATTGCCCAAAACAACTCTTTGTTCTCATCAATTGATATTATAAATCTCTCCTCATCCACATATAAATAACAATTCAAATAAGATATCCTAATTGCATTTGACACGAAGGAGTATCCAATAACAATTTGCTTTTCTTAAGCGGCTACTCTTTAATTTTGTAGTTTGACACTTGAATGGATTGCTCTCAATGACTTTACTTTGCTTGAATTGTAGCAAGAAGAGTAAAAATCCACTTCCAAGTGAAAAGATGTTGGACCACATCAAAATTTACAAAAAAAAGAAACTATAAAATGAACTAGATTTTTGAAACTATCACTATGAAAACAATATTTTACAATATTTCAAAATATCCAAATAATTTAAGCCGAATGATCAATATAGTTCTATGTACTATACAAAACATAATAACAATTCATATTCTTGTTTTACTATGCATGCGCATGCTTGCGCATGCATAGTAACTTGTGATGTTTGTAATTTATAGCTATAAAGTCACTTAAATATGTTACACAATAAGATAGAGACAATGATATATAATAAGCAACGAGGTTCATAATCTTTATTGTTCCTTGTATTATTGTAGTAGCTTTTGCTAAGCAACAATACTTCATCATATGGCTTTACTGATGACTTCCAAAACAAGTTGCAAATGGTTAAAGAATCTTGAACTGAAAAAGATTGAATGATATATCCATCGTTTGAAAGTCCGATAGTCATTTTCTTCCTTTTTTGTTCATACCTTAAATATGAATCATTTGGCCAATATTTGTAATTGTGTACATGAAGAGAAAGTTCTACTTTCATCACACATAGAAGAGCAGACACTATATACATAGCCCAGAAGTTAATATTATACCTCGATGTTAGAAGCGATGTGGAGATTTCATGTAATGATCACAAGGCAGATATTTTCTCAATCCTGCATTGAGCAGGTTTAATTGCCAAAACCTGCCTTTGATGAACTTTTGAGATCTCTATATTTAAAGAGTGCTGTACTAATGTGTTGGTCCACACAATGCATTCAGGG